ATGTTTACATTTATCATGTCAGTCCAATGATTGGATGTTTACCTTCATCATGTCAGTCCAATGGTTGGATGTTTACATTCATCATGTCAGTCCAATAATTTGGTGTTTACCTTCTTCATGTAAGTCCAATGATTCGATGTATACATTCATTATGTCAGTCCAATGATTGGATGTTTACCTTCATCATGTCAGTCCAATGATTGGATGTTTACCCCATCATGCCAGTCCAATGATTTGGTGTTTACCTTCATCATGTCAGTCCAATAATTCGGTGTTTACATTCATCATATCAGTATAATAATTCGGTGTTTACCTTCATCATGTCAGTCCAATGATTCGATGATTACATTCATCATGTCAGTCCAATGATTTGATATTAACCTTCATTATGTCAGTCAAATTATTGGATGTTTACCTTCATCATGTCTGTCAAATAATTCTGTGTTTACCTTTATCATGTCAGTCCAATGATTCGGTGTTTACCTTCATTATGTCAGTCCAATGACTGGATGTTTACCTCCATCATGTCAGTCCAATGATTGGAAATTTAACCTTCATCATGGCAATCCAATGATTGGATGTTTACCTTCATGTCAGTCCAATAATTGGATGTTTACCTTCATCATGTCAGTCCAATAATTGGATGTTTTCCTTCATCATGTCAGTCCAATTATTGGAAGTTATGGTCATACCTGGCATGAAAATCTCTTACAATTACTTTTCATCTTACCTGGTTGAATGGGCTTACGCCCACCATTGTACCATCTTCATTAGTTCTATGTCAGTTTGATCTTTTCTCTTCTTTTCTCTGATCTGTTTGATCAGTTTGCCTGTCCGCCATCTTATGCAATATTTTTATCAACCTCAAAAGTTAGCATGCACAACTCAGGACCAAGGGGAACCTACATATTAAATTTGAGAAAAAATCCTCCAGTAAATTCTGAGAAATAGTGATAACAATCTAAAACTGTAACAAGATGGCTGGCCGATATGATTTGATATGCATATTTTAAGGCCAAGAGAAACTCTTATGTCAAATTTGGGAAAAATCCCTCCAATACTTTATGAGCAATAGGGCTAAAAAACTTTTACTCTCAAATTTAATACGACCTACCGTCACCACCTGCCAGCCATCTTGGTTTTCAAAACTAGGAACCATTGGGAACCTTCATGTGAAATTTGAGACAGACCCCTCCTAAACATGCCGAGAAATATCGCTAACAAACTTTCATTGTCATAGGCCATCTTGGTTTTCTCTTCTGCCTCAAAATTTAATATGCGTAACTAACGACCATGGGAAACTTTCATGTAAAATTTGAGAATGACCCCTCCAGAACTTTCTGATAAACAGCGCTAACAAACTAACACTCAAATTCAAGATGGCTGCCTGTCAGCCATTTTGGTTTTGTGATCAGTCCCAGAAAACGTTATGCATAATTAGGGATCATGGGAACCTTCTTGTCAAATTTGAGAAAGATCCTTCTAATAAGTTCTGCGAAATAGCACAAACTTTAACTCTCAAATTCAGGAGAGCTGCCGGTCGGCCATCTTCTTTTTGTGATCAGTCCCAAAACGATATGCATAACTAGGAATCATGGGAAACATTCATGTGAAATTTGAGAAAGATCCCTCCAGCACTTTCTGAGGAACAGCACTAGGCCTAACAAACTTTCATTCTCAATTTCAACATGGCTTGCTGTCGGCCATCTTGGTTTTGCGATCAGTCCCAAAATATGATATGCATAACTAGGGTTCATGGGGAACCTTCATGTGAAATTTGAGAAAGATCCCTCCAGTACTTTCTAAGAAATAGCGCTAACAAGAATTGTTTAAGGATGGACGGAATGACGAATGGACAGACGGCGGACCTAGGGTGATTTGAATAGCCCACAATCATCAGTTGGTGGGCTAAAAATGAACTAACAAGAGCACCGCGAGCGGAAGCATGATATGCCCATCAGACCCTCGGAAGGGTATTAATATATAGAAGCAGGTAGTGACATATGATATAATGTGTTTACTGCCACTGTTTTGTTGGCGACTGTTACCTTGCCATTCATTTACTGTGTTATGGCGCAGGCTATTTTGTGTTTCAGAATTACACATTCGTGGTCAATGTTGCTATTACTAAAACAAGAACCTTGGCTTTGAGGTAGGAGTCTTGAACAAATAATTAAAAGTTCTTGCAATTTCGACAGAATGCCGTTATATGGCAATGAAAAATGGGCATAACTCTGCCGAATAGTGTTTAAATGTCACGATTTAAGAAGTCGTTTGAAGCATTCAGGTAATGAAACAACCAAGTAGTTTAATAAAAATCGGAGAACAATTGTTTAAGTTATCGTGTAAGCAAGCAAAAGTTAACAGCAAAAATGAAGTACAGTGTAGCTATGTCAATTTAAAGTGTGTGGTTTGGGCCTGTTTTGGCCCCCAAATGCATCAACACATATTTAGGAGAAATATAAAGTTTGTTCAAGAGTGCGTTCTATGGTAGCTAAGAGAACAAGCTTAAGAGGCCCATGGGCCTTAACGGTCGACCGACATATTTTTAAAGAGAGTTGATTTTGTTTTTAAAGGGGCTGGTCGGGGAAAAAATGTCATATTTGTTAAAATAGCATACACATTTTTAAAATACCTTCTTATGAAATATACCGATTCAAATTTTGCTGAAATTCACTCCCTAAGAGTAAAAATTATAATTATATTAAAGAAATCCTAAATCGTCACCTGACAGTCTAAAACTCTCAATTGACCCAGATCAGTGATGTAATTTTACCGCATGCGTCTTCAACAAGGCCAAATGTAAACATCGCGGTGAAAGAAAAAGATGCATGCAAAAGTCATGACAGGCACGAGGAATCAATACCGTTATATATAACAACAACATATAGGTAGGAATACTACACTTGCATCATACATGACCTTTGAAAACATATTGACGTATAGTATTGCTGTCTTGTCCGCTAGTTGAGTCCGACATGGCTGTTAGATGGCGTGCTATTGTTGTTATCTTCACTGCCTCACTTTCGAAACAACCACGTGACATATATAAATAGATGGACATTGCAAGCAGAACTCAACCATCATATTGCCGTGGTATAACTTTTGGAAGGCCAGAGAATGCATTTAGACCCATTTATTTTGTAATTTTTTCCCCGACCAGCCCCTTTAACATGAACAAAAATACTATTTAAAGTGACAAAAAACAATAAAACCATCTTATTCAATATCTAGCATACAGATTTAAGACTAAAAAGTATTTGAAACTAGCACCTCTGATTCAAAACAAGGAAAATGAAGAAATTTTAGCACACCGACTCCTTTGGGCCCCACCCTACAGCCCCAGGGTAGGGCTGGCTCAAATTTTTCAAAGTATCAAACTGTCAACTCAGGGTTATAATTCCAATCAAGTTATTAACATGTATTTTCAAAGTATCATTTGCCATTATAAACCATAATAAATCCCATATCTGGGTGTTTGAATAGAAGATTTTTGAAATTTCAGTCAATTCAACCCTTTTTGGCCCCACCCATCAGGCCTGGGGGGTCAGTCAGGGCTCATATGTGCATACCATCAAACTGCTACCTAATACTGATAATACTTACCCAAATTGAATTACTTCCAACGGAAATTAAACAAATGTTGGTCCAAAATGTGATTTCCCTATATAAACTATAGTAAAGTTTACCCCCTCCCCAGGGGGAAACGTGAGACCCCAGGGTCATGAAATTCACAATTTCGGTAAAGCACCTTAAGACCCTTCCATCTATGAAGAGCATTAGATTCTACCATATCTGGGTCTTGAGAAGAAGATTTTTGAAATTTCAGTCAATTCAACCCTTTTTGGCCCCACCCATCAGCCCCTGGGGGTCAGTCAGGGCTCATAGGTGCATACCATCAAACTGCTACCCAATACTGATAATGCTAACCCAAATTGAATTACTTCCAATGGAAATTAAACAAATGTTGGTCCAAAATGTGATTTCCCTATATAAACTATAGTAAAGTTTACCCCCTCCCCAGGGGGAAACGTGAGACCCCAGGGTCAAGAAATTCACACTTTTGGTAAAGCACCTTAAGACCCTTCTATATATGAAGAGTATTTGATTCTACTATATCTGGGTCTTGAGAAGAAGATTTTTGAAATTTTAGTCAATTTGACCCTTTTTGGCACCGCCCCTCAGGCCCCTGGGGGCTTGGGACTAAACCGGCCATTATTTTTGTTGACCTTTGTCCATGGAAAGTCCCTGCAAAATTTCATTGAAATTGGTTCAGGGGTTTTGGAGAAGAAGTCGAAAATGTAAATTGTTTACGGACACGCGTCGGACGATGGACGACGACGGACAAAAGACGATCGCAATAGGTCACTTGAGACTTTGTCTCAGGTGACCTAAAAATAAGAAAGTTCTTGCAATGACTACACAATGTCCTTATTTGGCAATAAAAGGGGCATATCTCCACCAAAACTGCACGTAAACTTCTGAAATAGGAACCCGTTCAAGCTATATTGATATATGCAATATGTGTACCAAGATATGTAAATGAATGAAGGCAGGAGAGCGATGACAAGGACAAGTTAACGGACGGACATCAGTCAACGCAGCCTGTACCATAATACTACCTGTCAGACGACGGGTGTATAAAAAGAGTTGTTGACCCACAAGGATTTTATAGGTTGGGCAAAATGGGTAAATCTTACAATAACATATTGCTTTGCATGAAATCATCTTCCAAACTGCTGAAGTATGGTATCCTTAGGAGGTAAAGATTCATTATTGAACATAAAATCGTTTACCGGTACCCTCATAGATGCAAGATAGACCAAGCCAAAACTTTTTAACATCTCTGCTTTCCTCTTCTGATCCTGTTTGTAATTTTGCAAAATGTAAGATGGTTTTGATGATCATATATCATCCTGTTGTCAACTTCTTTCCAAGAAATCTCATTCAGATTTCGTCTTTATTTCATGTGGGTAACCTTCTTGAACAAACTTCTGACCAAATTATAGTTAATCACAGTTTTTATTACAAAGATCAATTTTATAAAGACAGGCATATTCAGAATAACCCTAGAAATATTGGTATGTAAACATAAATTATTGACTAAACTGAAAATGTTAAATATATCATATGTATTAAACATAAAAAGATTATCTCTGAGATTGCCCAAGCTGGACTGATGTCATGATAAATGGTTTGCGTTGAACATGAAAAACACTTTAAAAGTACCTTCCATTGTAGAATCATTTGATGAAATAACAAAACAAAAAATCTCAACAATTTCATCCTGTTAAATTGAGATTTATCATGGAAACAATCTCTGAATCACACAACCAGGGATGTTGATGGACTAGCCCTTGGCTAGTGAAGAGAGTTTTACAGTCCAGAAGTACTGCAGTACCAGTAGGCCATTACATCACAAACACCACCTCAGACTCTGCTAGCACTGATACAGTAGAACAAACAAAACTACACTAAAGACTTCAAGGTTTCAAATTGTTTTTTGCATTTATCATTTATTTATGTTGGTTACTCATCTTTTGATATGTAAAATGTTATAATACATACCGAGTAAATAATGTAGTTGGCAGGACAAAAATTTAATTTGAAGAAATTGAAGTTTTTAGTTTTGTCGGTTAACTGGCACCAGGTCCTGATGTTTGTAGATTTGTTTACACCTCTGGAAACTGCTGTATAGGAGTATATCACACTTATGTTACATCACATGTAACACAAATAAAACCTGATCATGTTGAGCACTATAAGTCACACAACTCATCCCCAATCACATTTGTTCGTAAGATTCAAAAAAATATCACAATGTCCTTAATCAAGCTCTAATGGAAACGCTTTGATGGATCTTTAGCATGGTCAAGCAGCAGTTGGCAAGGTGCAAATGGCTCTCCGTAGTTTTGTTGGTATCTCTCCATTTTCTCAACCAACTGTTTCGCTCCATGCAAGTCAAGATAACGGAAAGGTCCTATAAAGAAAGTCATATGGTATTATTTGAGGAGCTGTTCAATGATTATAAATCAAGTCTTCTAATCGGTACACTATAATATACAGGGGGAAAGGGAGTACTTTTTCGAAAGAAATGCATGGTTGATGTCTAAAAATATTTCGAGTAAGTTAAATGAGAGGGGAAAAAACAGTTGAGGGTTATAGCTGTTTGGACTGTTCCAGAAATATACCTTAATAACATCTCCTCTTCATCAAGTCATAGATATAAAAATATAGTTGAACATTTTCAATTCTGTTTGGGAACTTCCTAAAATATGTTATTCAGGAATATTTCAGGAAAATTCTTGCTCAAACTAGTGAGGTTTTAGTAAAACAGAAATGCAGCAGATGTCCTAGTGAAAACCTTAGAAGGATGCTTCCATGTGAACAGCGATTGTATAACCCAGCAGATAATTGGGTTCTTACCTCCAAGGAATGGTGGGAAACCAAGACCAAACACTGCACCAATATCTCCTTCCAGCTGAAATAAACAAGGAAATGATGGAATGGGTAAGTATTAAGAAATCAATACCATTTTCTGTTTGCTTCAATTACTTTTGAAGGGAATGACCTGCTGATAAAATACAGCTATTGTCATGTGACCTTTTAATTGTTCTTTGTGTTACTGCTGACGTCAACATTCTAACAAATAATGAGATCTTTGTGTTTAATGCTGACGTCAACATTCTAACAAATAATGAGATCTTTGTGTTAGTGGGCTGTTTATAGATCTGATTAACTCCTCAATCAAAATGAGCAATGTAACTAAATAATGTTTCAAATAAACATGCAAACATTATCACTGAAAAAGTTCATTTAGCAGGAATGTAGGGTATTTTTGCACGATTTATCAGTCACTGCTATGTACAAACAGTTACGCTGACATTGTGCCAGCTTGGTCACTGGTGACGTTAGTGATGTGGGATGTCAGCGAAACTGTCTGGGAAAGAACATTGCTTTTACATAGCAGCGACTCGATGAATCTTGCAAATAAATATACATGTGAATATTGTTCAAACAATATTTTGAACTTTTGACAACTCATTATTGATCTGGACTTAGTTCACAAATTCACCAAACTTACAGGTGATTTCAGAATTCCTTCCTGTAAGCACATCACTGATTCATTCACAAATCTTGAGAACAGGCGGTACTGAATATCTTCATCTGTTATTCTGTAAAGTTAATTGCAAAAATTGATTTTTGGAAGCCATACAATATGAACCAAGAAACAAATTCATCTTCAATATATTTACCTTCACTTGTACATATATCAGTGTAAATATCTGGGTACAATACTTCTGTGCATAGGAAAAATTATCACAAAAAAATTGGGGGACCATGTAATAATTCCAGGTTTCACACATATTTCTAAACATTTTCTTCAGGTTGGTAAGTATGGATTATGAGAAGTTCTTTTTACACAACCAATTAAAAAATATATGTGATGATTCGATGACAAGTACGATATGTACACTGGCACCTTCATCAGACAAATGACCAAGGTTTCACACCTTTTAGCAGATCTTTCAACTTGATACACTTTAATAATATAAAAACACATATGTAGTTCTACAAAAGAAACAACATAGAACAAGTGTCCAAAATGATAATACTTTTGAATAACGCATATTTTCACTCTTATTTTCGACAGAATATTTTTACACTCAATTTTCATTATGAAACTACAACAATTTTCTATACACCTGCCAGGAAAGGGTTTTCACAAGTCTCCAGATTCTCAAGGTAAATAAAAAGCATTACAATTCAGCAAAAATTGACACTTACGGCACAGGAGGTTCAAGTTTGTATCTTTTTAAAATCTCATTTGCTTGTTCATTCTCTGGACGTTGTTTTTGTCCCTTTTCATATATGAAACATCCTTTTCCCGATTTACGTCCTGTGGACAGAAAACACAGACTAAACATAAAACTATCTATGCATAATAAACTGTTTACAAATTGAAACTGAATCAACAAAACATAACAGATTAAGTGATAGTTTACTTTTACAATTGAGATACCAGCAGAGGAATTTGTAAAACAAATCCTAGACAAGATTTTACTTTAGAATTCTATGTTGTTAGCCAATTAAACTGACAATATTTAATGTTTAGAAAAAAGAAAAAAATGTGCCAAATTGGATTTGTGTCTAGACTGAACACAGTACCTAAGAATCCAGCTTTCACCATGTCTCCGAGAACGTTGGGGTCTCCACCAGCGAATCTGGAGCCGAAAGCTTTGGTGAGATCTTCTGCTACATGTGCTGCTACGTCAACACCTACTTCATCAGCCAGGGTAGCCGCACCCACAGGCCAGCCAAATTTCTTTGTCAATTTGTCCAATTGTGTTGGGGACACGCCCTCCTGTTTTTCAAATATTGAAGTGTTTATATATTATTTCACGGTTTCATTTTTGAAGAACAGTGGTAACTTTCCAAAACGTATTTAACTCAGCTTTGTCATATATTCATTTAACATACAGACATAAAACAATCAATGCTGGGCTGCCAAAGATAAACAATATCTACAGAATTTGTCAATCATTACAAGACGCTGGTTACAAGTCCACCACAACTTCCCCTGAAGCTAGTAGTTAAACCCACACCTACCAGCACAATTGGGTTAAAACACAACAAATCTGTCAACTGACTGTTATGTGATTTAGATACTTTGTACTGTTACCAGTCAAATTTTTGTTGTCAAAACAGGTAATTACATTTTTGATAATGTATGCTTTGTAATTTCATAACAATCTATATCTTGATGATTTAGAGGACAAGAAAAATGAAAAGCAACACCCAGTCTTAAGAAAATGAGTTAAACATTTTGTAGGTATCACCAAAATATTTTTTTCTCACTGTTTCTCGCTCTTTATCCTCCATTATATATATGGAATAAAAAAAGCACACCTGTAGCAGTCGGATTGCTTCTGCCAACATAGAGGCCAGGATCCTTGTAGTGTAAAATCCTGGTCCGTCCCCAACAACGATCACAACCTTGCCTTGTCTTAGTCCCACATCTACAGCAGATGCTGCAAGTACGAAAGAAAATAATGACATTTGGGAGCAAGAGTGATTTTCAGAAAAAAAATCAGTAAAATTTTATAACAAATCTCTCTCTCTATATATATGCAAGAACTAATGTGACAATGTAAATTTTGACTTGCCTTTGAATTTTACAATTTATCACTTGCTAAATCTGTTACAGCAGCTTCTGAAGTGAGCTTGTTTAGCCTACACTCATTTCAATCACCGAGCTGTTTTTTTTTACATGCATTGAAACATGGAACCTACAGCTTTTAGCCTTTCCTTAGGAACTGGTAATCGAAATCCTAGGCAAAAGATAATTGCACATTCCAATGGGAATCAAACGACAGCATGAAAGGCCAGTGGCTTAAATACTGCCCCAATCTGGCCAATTATGTTAACATGTTGAAGAACACTGAGTTCAGTATCAGTACTGGACACCTTTATATGTTACCTATTGTGTCCTTTGATGTTTTATCTGTTGTGATGATTTCCAAAAGTGGCATTTTATCTACAGGTGAAAAGTAATGCATTCCAATCACCTGTAAACAAAGGAAATACACAATAAGGTCTGTAATCCCTCCAAAGTACTGTGTGAAATTAGACCCATATCTCCAAGCTACGATAAAGGTTGTTTGGATCAGGTAAAATTGAAATATTTTGATTTGTTTAACAGTGTTATAAAATATAGAAACTTAACAATGAGGCTGTGGTACAATAATTGTCTGTATTTAATTACACGTCAAGCACACTTCTGTATCTAGCCTTAAGCACAAAAGAAACAATGTACATATTCAACATTTCAAATTAAACAAAATTGAAGAAAGTACAACACAAAACATTTGCTTAAATTTCTCCTAACTTATGATTTATCTCAGAATACCAAAACATTACCAATACAAAATGTACGCAATTCAATTTTTACATCTGTATAAACCCACCTTTTCCGGCCTTTTACTGGCTTCTGCAATACGGGTGATGGGTAGTGCTGAAGTGTTGGTGGCAAATACACAGTGTTCTGGTATATGCTACAAAGTCAATCAGCACAAATAAAAGAAAAGATACACATAAACAACTGTTAAAATCTGAGAAAATCATGTTTAAAATAGCCATTCAAACTGAGATTTTAAGCACAGTTCTACATACTACTAATTAAAATAAACAAATTGCAGGCATTAGGCCTACTGTCCCTATAATTTCTACTTTATATATTCATTAGGCCCACTGTCCCAATAATTTCTACTTTTTCCATGAACAATTTTATATCCAAAACTAGTATATCTTTTTGTCATGATATAACAGAAGAGGATCATATTTGAATGTCAACCTCTCAACCCATCTAGACATTTTAAAATCCTTTCCATTTTATCATAGGGTTCCATCGAGTAATAAGCCCAGTATCCATTTTACCTCCATTCTAAGAAATAGGCTGCCTGGACTCATCATAGATTCAATATGGCAGGTGAGAAAAACAATTTACCTGTTCCACCTCTCTGATGACAGCATGTTTTATGTTGATATCCTCAAACACAGCTTCAATCACCATATCACAGTCTTTGAAACCCTTGTAGGATAAAGTGGGCTCCATTGAGGACAGGACCTTGTCCTTCTCTGCACTAAAGTCAGAATAGGTCAGATGTCATTACAATCAATGAGCACGTTCTTGTGAAGTAAATAGAAAGATTTATCTGGTATTCAGCGCTAGAACACTGACATGTGTTGACATCTGTCAGGGGAGAATCTGTAGCTCCCAATCTATCAATGGGTACACTATGCATGTATACCTCTAGTCCCCCCCGCCAGTAGCGTGGACTGATCAACATCAGTGGTTGAAAGTATTTTGTAAGTTGACACAAAATCATCTGGAGAGTCATGTGCTCTGTGTTTACCAAATTTGTACACAAGTGATTACAATGTATGGTGTCATTTTTGCAAGTGCTATTTCAAGATTTAATCAAAATATTCTGGTATATCATTGAAAAAGAGGAAAATAAGATCAAACAGTAGATTTTGATATTTTATGCAACATACTCAGTTTTTAGTGGGGAGGAGGAGACACCGGCTTTTCCCAGAAGATGGAATTATGAATCAACATTCTTCAGTGTTACCTGGACATTTTCTTCTTTTTGACCTGTGTTTGAAGTCCCTTGACGATCTGGTCCTCTCCCCGGGCCAGTCCTGAGGAGCCGACATCCTTCATCTGTACATAATCAACCTTGTTTAAGGACACTTGTACAACTCCAGCACCCATCAGACCAGCTCCGAGCACTCCAAGGTTTCTACAGCAGAGAAGATGTGTATATAATTCTTTAACCAAATACATGTATCATATAAACTGTTTAATCTCATTAATAAGAATGCTCATGATTCCAACTATCTCTTAAAATTCCAAAATGTTTTTTGGTTACCATGGCGATACATTTTATAATTATTTCATAATTGTGGTATTCGTATATATAATTAATTATCGTTCCAAACCTTACAATAAAGACACTGTAATTTCAGCAATGATTGAATATGCAGCTTTTTACACAAATTGCTATCAATCTAACAGGTGGCTAGCTCTGAGCCTTGGGCAGTTTGAAATTTGCTCATCAGACTTGTTAGGTATGAAATTTACATAAAATCGTGTTGTTATTTGGCAGAAAACCTAGTCCCAATAACCTGCTAATTTACTGGTTTACTTCTGGACCAATGAGATTGAATTTGAAGCAGGTGCTTGGATAAACAGCACCCATATGTTTTGATATGATACAATACAGAAGAGAGGTTACTTTGACCCAGTTTTAGTGAAAAGCAGACTGCTGACTATATTGTACATTCGTTCCATGTGTGATGTAGGTACTAGAATCATTAATATGACATGGCCTGACAACCTTCACTTCTGCAAATGAGTTAAAGGTCAAAGGTCAAAAAAAGATCACAGTATTCTAAGTTTGCCATGTGAGAGTGCTTTCTCATTAAGTTACTGCATGCCAAATCTTAAGTTAACACATGAAACCATTTTAATTTTTGGTAAGCAACCTAGTGTCTTCTCATAATATACGTGCATACCATGAAATGGTGGTCGAGATATGCTTGTGAAACTTCATGAACTAACAGACACGCAAAGAAAATAACAACCCTCAAATCATTCAATACAAATACACTTATTGTGTAGGCAGGTGGTCGCTATGCAGTGTCATAATGAAGTAAAAACACTTCAACAGTCGTAATAGACAGGTGGTTACAATGGACAGGTGTTTTTAAGCAGATTTAAATGTATATGGGTCAGTTATAGATACATATATTCAGTTATCCCACAACAACATTTCCTACTGTTCCTACATATTTTAGTAATTATCTTACTGGACGGATTTCGCTGGCTTTCCAAACTGGTTTTTCCTACATGCTGTGTCTCCATGGTAAAGCCCAATCAGAGCTTTAGACTCTGTGGTCATACCTAGCTTTCCAAATCCCTGCAGCAAAAATCACACAAGTTTACTCCACATGTATTAGCAAATCAATAAACACGGAAACTGCATTGAATTTTATAAATCTCAATTATTCTGGTAAACTATGAATTCAATCTTACTAATGTGAATTATTTGGTATTAAAGTCAATCTGAAACTAGAACTGTAAGCCAAAGGTTAAATAACACTGCTCCTGCATGATAATAGCTGAAATGGGGTCAATTGAAATTTAGTTATATCAAACAATGACAATTTAGTTGTACTCAAAGATTTGAGAACAAAAATATTTGCTGGACTACAAAACTCCTAACAAATGTTATGTACTGAAACACATACAATGTTTAAAGTGATTTAACTTTACAAATGAATATCAGCTTTCCAATTTGTCATCATTACACGAAATACCTTTGTTACAGCATGAAAGATTATAGAATTTTACATAATATTTAAGTAAACTACAGGAAGTTCTGTCTGACATGTGGTACTTACTTCAGACTCGGGAAGTTCTGTCCAACATACTTACCTCAGACTCGGGAAGTTCTGTCTGACATGTGTTACTTACCTCAGACTCAGGAAGTTCTGTCTGACATGTGGTACTTACCTCAGACTCGGGAAGTTCTGTCTGACATGTGGTACTTACCTCAGACTCGGGAAGTTCTGTCTGACATGCGGTACTTACCTCAGACTCGGGAAGTTCTGTCTGACATACTTACCTCAGACTCGGGAAGTTCTGTCTGACATACTTACTTCAGACTCGGGAAGTTCTGTCTGACATGTGGTACTTACCTCAGACTCGGGAAGTTCTGTCTGACATGTGGTACTTACCTCAGACTCGGGAAGTTCTGTCTGACATGCGGTACTTACCTCAGACTCGGGAAGTTCTGTCTGACATGCGTTACTTACCTCAGACTCGGGAAGTTCTGTCTGACATGCGGTACTTACCTCAGACTCGGGAAGTTCTGTCTGACATACTTACCTCAGACTCGGGAAGTTCTGTCTGACATACTTACTTCAGACTCGGGAAGTTCTGTCTGACATGTGGTACTTACTTCAGACTCGGGAAGTTCTGTCCAACATACTTACCTCAGACTCGGGAAGTTCTGTCTGACATGTGGTACTTACCTCAGACTCGGGAAGTTCTGTCTGACATGTGGTACTTACCTCAGACTCGGGAAGTTCTGTCTGACATGTGGTACTTACCTCAGACTCGGGAAGTTCTGTCTGACATGTGGTACTTACCTCAGACTCGGGAAGTTCTGTCTGACATGTGGTACTTACCTCAGACTCGGGAAGTTCTGTCTGACATGTGGTACTTACCTCAGACTCGGGAAGTTCTGTCTGACATGTGGTACTTACCTCAGACTCGGGAAGTTCTGTCTGACATGTGGTACTTACCTCAGACTCGGGAAGTTCTGTCTGACATGTGGTACTTACCTCAGACTCGGGAAGTTCTGTCTGACATGTGGTACTTACCTCAGACTCGGGAAGTTCTGTCTGACATGTGGTACTTACCTCAGACTCGGGAAGTTCTGTCTGACATGTGGTACTTACCTCAGACTCGGGAAGTTCTGTCTGACATGTGGTACTTACCTCAGACTCGGGAAGTTCTGTCTGACATGCGGTACTTACCTCAGACTCGGGAAGTTCTGTCTGACATACTTACCTCAGACTCGGGAAGTTCTGTCTGACATGTGTTACTTACCTCAGACTCGGGAAGTTCTGTCTGACATACTTACCTCAGACTCGGCAGCGTCTCCCTTTTCTTTCCCTTCTGTCACTTGTTTGGTCACCACCTGTTAACACATGTACAAGAAATGTAATTATACCTTTCAAACTCATACCAAACTTTCAAAGAAATTTCAAATTTAAACAATTAAGCAGCTTTTCAAAAAGTGCTCTTGTTCCACAGAAGTAAATTATTGAAAGTTTCACAGAACTAGCTTGCCCTAAGTATTAAAATTATTCAAAGGGCTGTCAAGTTTTTTAGACAAATACTAAATATTATCTTATTTATGGCCTGTTCCATTCCACAACTAAGCTTGGCCTTGAGAATTTTTTATTACAAAGGTATTTTTATGGGCCAGATCTAAACTGAGGCTCCACTTAGCCCTATCCCAGTCAGACTTACATCTAATATTTCCAATGGTGCCGGATAGTTTCCAGCTGTCATTTTCATTACTGCTTTTGTGGCCTGCGACTTTACAAATGACATTCCCCAGGATGTAGACAAGAGACCTGAAGAAAAAAGAAATATTTAAAATGTAGTCTTAATTAGCAATAATGTTTGTGGTTCCTTTTTCTGCAAAACTCATTGGGCATGTGTCAATACTTTAGGTTTGTATGATGTACACACATAAATGCACATACAAAACAGAAATATGTCTGGAAGACATCATCATGCTCACAACCTTGTCCTTGTGTTGGTTACAGTACCCGGTAAGTAATAGCGTGAATGGGTAACAGCTATGTACAGACCAGTGATGTGTTGGTTACAGTACCCGGTATGTAATAGCGTGAATGGGTAACAGCTATGGACCGACCAGTGATAACAGCTATGGACAGACCAGTGATGTTTTGGTTACAGTACCCGGTAAGTAATAGCGTGAATGCGTAACAGCTATGGACAGACCAGTGATAACAGCTTTGGACAGACCAGTGATGTGTTGGTTACAGTACCCTGTATGTAATAGCGTGAATGGGTAACAGCTATCGACAGACCATTGATAACAGATATGGACAGACCAGTGATGTGTTGGTTACAGAACCCGGTAAGTAATAGCGTGAATGGGTAACAGCTATGGACAGGCCAGTGATGTGTTGGTTACAGTACCCGGTATGTATTAGCGTGAATGGGTAACAGCTATGGACAGACCAGTGATAACAGCTATGTACAGACCAGTGATGTGTTGGTTACAGTACCCGGTAAGTAATAGTGTGAATGGGTAACAGCTATGGACAGACCAGTGATAACAGCTTTGGACAGACCAGTGATGTGTTGGTTACAGTAACCGGTATGTAATAGCGTGAATGGGTAACAGCTATGGACAGCCCAGTGATAACAGCTATGGACAGACCAGTGATGGGTTGGTTACAGTACCCGGTATGTAATAGCGTGAATGGGTAACAGCTATGGACAGGCCAGTGATGTGTTGGTTACAGTACCCGGTATGTATTAGCGTGAATGGGTAACAGCTATGGACAGACCAGTGATGTGTTGCTTACAGTACCCGGTAAGTAATAGCGTGAATGGGTAACAGCTATGTACAGACCAGTGATGTGTTGGTTACAGTACCCGGTATGTCATAGCGTGCATGGGTAACAGCTATGGACAGACCAGTGATGTGTTGTGTACAGTACCCGGTATGTAATAGCGTGAATGGGTAACAGCTATCGACAGACCATTGATAACAGATATGGACAGACCAGTGATGTGTTGGTTACAGTCCCCGGTATGTAATAGCGTGAATGGGTAACAGCTATGGACCGACCAGTGATAACAGCTATGGACAGACCAGTGATTTGTTGGTTACAGTACCCGGTATGTAATAGCGTGAATGGGTAACAGCTATCGACAGACCATTGATAACAGATATGGACAGACCAGTGATGTGTTGGTTACAGCACCCGGTAAGTAATAGCGTGAATGGGTAACAGCTATGGACAGACCAGTGATTAAAACATGGCACAGGCATCAGCCATCTCAAGGACTCGATGATCTACTAGGAAATAGGGAGAAATTAAACTTTATACAGATTATTTTTTTGTAGAAAATATTTGAATTTGCAAAACCCTCTACAAAAAGTACAAAACAGTTTCCCTTAACATGAAAACAAATGTCTCACAAACCAATATGTGAATTATATTGAAAATAATACATATGTATATGGCATATCTGTGGCTTGTACAATGTATAGTATTACATAGGTGTCGAAAGTTACTATTTACAAGGTTTTTCTGAGCATAAGCTCTTCTAGGTAAAATGAATGAAAGACATGTTCGATTTATGTTGTAATACATGTAAACCATAAAGAGAATCCATTGTTCATATCTACCCCATGACGACGAAAAAAGTTAAATCATGTGATTATCTATCTAATGGTCATATCTACCCCATGACGAAGAAAGTGAAATCATGTGATTATCTATCTAAAAGTGTACATTGTCAAATCCTCAAAATTTGGACCAGTCATGATCAGTTTGGACCAGTCATGATCAGTTTGCAAATGATCGAATTTTCACTTGCCCACATACTTAATCCACTATCCCCATGCCATTAGACCTAGGGGTTTTCTTGCCTTAGAAGATAATCTCCATATCAGGTGTTCATAGCAGGCAGTAATAAATTGAATTTTATTACATGCAAGTTTTACTGACAGTGATTGTGGTTCAGTGTAAAATGTCAAGCTATACTCACTGTTCATGCGTGAAGAATAAGGCTTCTTCTGCAATGTTTTGTTTGCCAAACCTCGGGCTGCCTGTATAGCTACTTCCTCTAAGTAATTCAGTGTTGCTGTTTCTGGGTCCATCAGTCCAGGGCCTGACACATACAAAGGTATACACATATAATTGAATGTACTATCAGTCTTTTGATTAACAAATGATTTGTGGATGTGTACCTATATTTTGACATCCTACAACACTTTCTCTGGTGAAAATTTCATACTCTGCTTCAAGAGTTGAAAGATTACATTTTGGTGTTTCATCTATCAGGTTTTCCCCCTGAGTATTAAATATGTTAAGATTTATTATTCAAGATTTTTCATCACTGTATCAAATAAGTGAACAAATAGATACGCTACACCAAAATATGTGAACAGAAAATCATATTTTATAGAATGAACAAAATGCAGGTAGCCTCACCCGGACATGATATTAATTGACTTTCCTAAAGAGACCATTCTCAGACAGAGAAACTTATATTGGACTTACCCAGAGAAACAACAACTTGATCCACCAGTCCCATCTTCTTGCCTTTATCTGCCTTAATGTTTTTACCAGTTAACATCATATCTAATGCTGCTTGGACACCAACCTTAACAAAGACAACATTAAGCTGTATTTTAATTCTGATGCATTTAAAATCTTATGCATTTCAATTTACAATATTACACAATGACATTATGAAAATTCTGTTTCAGAAGATTTTCTGTAATCAAATCTCATATATATTGGTACAGTAAAACCTTTTATCCAGCAAAATTTTGCTCATCAGAAGGTTAGTGATTTTACAAGGTAAATGTACAAAGCCAGTTAAATAAGAAGGATTGAAAATGGAATTTTGAAAATTGAATAGCAGTAAGTTGTAGATTTTGTTGGGGTAGCACTCAAGTTTGTAAAAGGTTCTGGCTTCAGGGTTGATTCTCCATTTTCTTTAACACAGGTTTAGATAACAGCAGCCCATTTACATCTGAGTAGCTCTATCTGAAGCACAGGAAATTGTCCTCTCCCCATATTTTCAACGTTAAAATGCTGCTGCACTAAAGTGTCTTACCCAAGATTGTGATTAATGCTTTTGCCAGTTAACACTGCTGGTTGATGGATTCAGAACTTATGAACTTAATACAATGATTTATATGGAAACTGAAAATCGCTTGGAATAGACATAGCTCCAGTTGACCCTTGACATGTTGAGATTCTTGTGAATTTATAACACTTGTACCCAAAGCAGATGTTATTATCAAGGTAAAAAAAACCTTGTTAAAGAGACTTTCTCCGCAATGAAATTTTTGCAAAATTTTGTATTTTTTTCAGCAACACTGTTATTTTTTAACTTCCATGACCACTTCACATCAATAAGTACTCACTGGGGTATCTCCAAAGATTGCAGGTTGCCATGTTTTCATAGCATGGACATTACAAATCTGATTTGTGAACTGTTGTGATGGATTGTATTTATTCTAACCAGGGCATTTTGTTTGAAGGATTGGAAATGAAACAACCTAATGTATTTCATTCACTTTAATGCAACATGATGATTAGTTTAAACAGTGACAGATAAGTACTTTGTGATCCTAGTGCAAATTCATGGACTAATTTCAACAGTGTAAGCATGATACAAAATAAGCTGTTTGGTTTATGAAAATTCAGGCCTAAAGTTGACAAAAACATAACAACTACGTATGGTCAAAACCAAGAGTAGACTCCTTTGAAAATTCTCAAAAACCTTGCTGAGGGTCCCTATATTAAAACTGACAGAATCATCTACAGTAAATGTAAGCAGTGTGATATTTCAAAGTACACGGGTACATACTGTTTTTGGTAGTCTCTCAGTACCGCCAGCACCTGGAAGGAGACCAAGTTTAACCTCGGGTACACCTAGGTTGGTCTTGTTGTCCTTCACAGCAATTCGATAATGACAGGCAAGGGCAACCTGTTATCACAAACAAACACATTCATCATACAGTCTCACTGAGTGACAGACAATACAACACTTCTCCTATAAGGACACTGTAGTAACTTCATACTAAATTTCATTAATATCATCTGAACTAATATTAATAATTATAAGGTAAAGATAAAGAAAATATTTACTTATTATTTACTATCAACTAACACAATGGACAGAAAAATAATTTTCTCTTAAAATATACAACTAAGTAGTAAGTAGGCTAGTAATATGAAAGATGATCATTTTGTGACTGGTAGATTTAAACATTAGGCAAGTACATTTTCTAAAGCACTTGCCTGGAGTTACTAGGAATAACCTGATTTTTACCTCACATTTACAACACTGAACAACATCCACTCACTATCACAGGACAATATAAACCATTTACCTCAAGTCCGCCTCCAAGGCAAGAGCCTTTGATGGCAGCTACAACTGGCTTAGGACTCTGCTCCACCTCATTAAATAAAGCCTTCCCTCTCTCGGACAACTCTACAATCTCCTCTTTTGTCTTGCATGCTTCTATCATCCTTTGGTTAAAAAATATTATCACTTTAGTCATACATGGTGTGAAGGAAATCCAGTAACAAATATATATACAAAAGGTGATGTCAATCCAGAGCAAAATTGAAAATGGGATTGCTTTTGATGGTAAGAATGTTTTGGCATTATCTTTGGAAATCATTGAACTGCATTAGTTATAGCAATACCAAATGTGAGGTCCCTTTCTCCATTTAAAAGTTATAATGTCATGAAAGACCAAGAAACAAAGTTAAATAAAAAATAAGTCACCAAACAAAAGATATCTACCCTATGTCAGCTCCAGCAATAAAGCAGCCTGGCTTTCCCGACATGACAACAATGCTTTTGACATCTGGGTTCTCACTGACCTCCTTAAATACTTGTGTAAACTCTGTCTGTACATCCCTGGACAGCGTGTTTACCTAAACAAAGTCACCTCCATTCATTCTCTCTACACTGTAAGCAACTAATAAGGTTTTAGAGGAACGTTAACCAGTTATTTGGGTGTTTAAATCATAGGAGAATTTTCCTTTAGATTTGTTTAATTTACAAGGCAACAATGATGATAATATTTTTAATATCATTTAATTATAATTATGATTTTTTAGATATGATTTTAACTTTCAACTATAAGCTTATAAAGGATAACCTAAAAAGTCATTAAGACATGCCAAATTTTGACACATTAACTTACTCTCTTTATTTATGTATTAGACATAATACATACCTTGACACATTAACTTACTCTCTCTATATATATATTATATACATACCTTGGAATTTGGAGAGTCAAATTTAACTACAGCTACATCTTGTTTAACTTCATATTTCAGGTGAGTTCTCGCTGAAAGTGAAAATCATAATAAATCAGTAAATGTTTACAACATCAAATATTTGATACATTTTTGTAACAGTAGTCTGTAGAAAATCGCTTAACATTTTATGTGGTAAATGTATATCTTTACATTTTGTATTATCTTATGTGTCATTATGACCTTAAATGACCTCAGCTGTTGATAGGACAACATAAAATCAATCTTTGAATGCTCCAACGATTCTGTTTTACAAGGATGTAGATACATTTTGTGTATGTCAATCAATCTTCAAATTACTGCCAGTTTTCTCATCTCACCAAACCAACTTACCACCCATTACACCTGTGGTTGATAGCCAGCGGCTTTGGTCACCTGTAATAATAAAGGAAATCATTTGCACAACCCAACACAATTAGTGAAATGATACAGGCAAAGATTAAATTCAGTTATTTTAGCTCACTAGCCCAAAAGTAGCTCAGCCTACTTTTGTTTATCAAATTTAAATGGTTAAGGTGGCAGTTGGGTCTGCCCATAGAATAGAACATAATTAAACAAAATACATGGAAATCAGGTGTATGAATCTTACAAAAAAAACACCATATTAACTCAGACTTCGAATGGTAGCCTCATTCACAAGTTTTCATTTACAGGTACTGCTGTATTTTTTATATAAACTGTAGTTTATATTTCACATGCAATAAATGATGGTTTAAATATTGGTTCAAAACCCTTTCTCTGAATTCAGATCACATTTAAAGCATATCCATCCGACTCATAATTGAATTCAGAAGTTGTTGATTTCCCTTTATGGAATGATGTTATGAAACCTTCAAAAGTGTTCCAACTTTGTATTTTTATTAAACAAGATATCCAGGGGCTCCGATAGCTTGCCTGAGATTTTCAATTTTGATTTAAAACCTGTTGACTTCTGTACACTTTAATCAAATAAAATAGTGCAAAAATATAAGCCATAGCAAGGACTTAACCTCTAGGGGCATTAATGACACTAAGGACATAAACATAGTTGTTTCTCTATGCCAACCAATTGAATATAAAGGGTAGGGATCTTAACACCTTCCAATACCAAAGGGTAATTTCATGGCCATTAATTTTACATTAATGATTTGGTTATATAGTGGTGATCTTAACTGGCTCCATGTTATGACCCAAAATGTAAGCTCCAAGGGGTGGAGCTGCATCCCTGACCAAATCCTGGGGGCATGAATGAATTTGTCTCTTCAAGCCTCGCAATTGTAAAATAGTTATAGGAAGGGGATATAAAATATTTCCATGTTATGACCTAAGGAGTAGGTCAAGGTCATTTTATTTTGCAAACTTTTTTCAGGGTCAATCCAAGGAATATTTCAGCAAATGTTGGGTTAAGGTCTTTCAGTTCTTCATAAGTTTTTGACCTTTTTGATCTTGAAAGTAGGCCAAGGTCATTTTTACCTGCAAACTTTGCTGAGCTCCATCAAAGGAAGGTACCAGCAAAATATCATAATTACAGTCCATTTTGATGTTTAGGAGAAGTCATTTGAAGTTTTTGACGTTTTGACCTGGTGACCTCAAAAAGTAGGTCAAGATAATTTTGTTCCCAAACTATCTTGGGCTCCCTCAAAGGAAGCTTCTAGTCAAATATCATGATTCTATGACTTCTAGTTCTTCAGAGGAAGTTGTTTAAAGGAAAACTCAAACCTATAACAGCAACAAAAGACCTATACAAGTTTTCCTTCTTTCACCGCTGCGCACCACAAGAGACTGGAAACTCTCTTCCAGCCTCTTTGGCTATACTGCCGAGACACTTGACTACTTCAAGTGTGCTCTTTACCTCTCTGATAGTTCTTTCCAAGTACACACAGATTACAGCGTTTGACCACTTGCTAAATGTAAACAAATCTCTGCACAACCCGTCTTCTCTGTACGTCTGAACAGGTACCTTTGAGTCGCCCAAGGGACGAAGCCTAACCTGTCCACTCAACACCTGGTTGTTAACGTCTGCACTAGCTGTCCCCAATATGCACACCCATACTTCACGGTCAATGCAGTAATACTGTTCCCCGTTTATATTGTATATTACTTCTTATTTTTCGTTCCAACTTTCGAGCCTTCGTCAGTTTACGGAAGAAGAAAAGGTGATGAAGGACGGACAATGGATGCTGCGCACAAGAGCCAGGTGAGCTAAAATATATTTCATGCCGTAGCTCGGCTCTTCATTCCGTTACCGTCTCCTTAAGTTTGAAGCTGATGTGGCTCGCTAAATGGAACAGGTGAGTGTCCAAATGAGCCCAGAACAACAAGTTCCTTTCACATGAAATAACTTTAACCTTACTGTGTTAAGTTATAATGTGAATGAAAGAACGCGACATGTAAAAGGACTGTTATAGCTTTTGCCTTCATTATGTTGTAACGCAGGACTTGACCTTGCATTGCTACCAGTCTTCTGTAGGCATAAGCAACAGCAAGTATGGAAATTGGAATATTAGCCCTGAACTGATCTTATGCAATGGACAGAGTTGACTAACTGCGTTTCATTAAAATATCACCGCATAAGCAGTAAAATGATAATACAGAGCTGGTAATTTAAAAGAAGAAAACAAACCAATGAAATTACGTGAGCCATGATTTGCAATATTCCTGAACGCTCCAAGGATTCGCATGGCAGACATTTCGCCGGTGCCGGTTGCACTTTGTACTCTCGTGAAACTCTCGCGGAACTTCGATAAATAGCAAACTCGCGTTGGATATTTTTACCGAATTTTGGATCAAATATTGACAGACATATAAAATGTATTAAGTGTTTGTTATGTTTCTATCTTGCATTACAGCCATATATCGGTAAATATGAACATTCTCGCTTTGAAAATACTTTTAGCGTTTGATCACGTGGTGTCCAAAGGTTACAGAATCCATCATGGCGGCCATGTGGAAGATTGGAGCCGGTGTCTGGAACTCGCAAGCTAATTTAAGTGTGTAATACGGCTTGTGAAATAGTATACATATCTGTCTTACGTCTATCAAGATTCTTTATACAAATAGGTGTCAAAATACGGTGTTCGCAACTGAATTATTTTTATAATGTCATGTTTTCAATTCCCCCCCCTCAACAAACGTCATGCACTCTTCTTCCATGAACGGACGAAGGCTCCAAGGTTGGAGCGATAACTGTCCTTGTGCGCACTCGATTAAGTCATTGTCATTACAGTACAGTAGGTTTCTCGTAAGTCAAAGAGTAAAGAAAATTTGCTTCTGTATCCACCAAACTTATTTTTTATCCACTCTTACTCTTAGTACAAAATTTTGATTTTTTATATAGGATAGTGAAAGGAGATTCGAAGTGCATTCAACCATAACATACAAAGATGTTACCCAAATGCAGGATTATTACCCATATGCGCCATTGTGCCCAACCTGATTAATGCTTTTGTCTAAGTTGTAAAGTCAATTATCAAGCTTCAGATATGGCAAAAGGTGTTACAATTCTTGTACAATAATGGACAGTGGGGTCAAGTTAATTGGATGACCCATTGACGTTGAGAAAACAGTCTGATAAGCGAGTCACACATAGGTGGTCTCGCACACGTACATTTGACGGTGCCGTAAGCCAATCTGATAAACTCGTTCAAACACTGCATCCAACACATTTATGGGTTCAGTATATTTAAATTAGTGTACATGGTATTCATTTACCTTTTCCAGTACCGTAGTAACCAAATTGGTTTCAAAGCTGGTTTTGGTTTTACTCCTGTTCAAACAAATATCTGGGAGCCTGTTCGTCTATACAGAACAACCAGTTTGTCTGTTTTGAAATGTAACATTTTCTGGCGTAAATCCTTGCAGACCTGCAAATGTTTATGCAGGCCTTGCGAGGCTTTGTCGAGGCTCGCCTGAAAGCACCAGAGTACTAGGTCAGACCTTATTTCATAAACAAAGAACTCTGGTCCAACTGTTTGGATGCCAATAAACGAAAGCGGCTTCAAAGCAGCCGCCATTATGTACTCATATCAGTAGAAAAGTGTTGAAATGACTGTCATAGACATGTGTACATTTTACTAATGCAAGCAAAAACTAGCAAGACATTTTTGTTTTTAAACAGGAGCAAACAATTTTTAATAAATTTAACCTGCCGTAAGTAGCCGTCATATGTTTCCGTGCATCTATTTTGATTCAGTGTTCGAGGAAAGACTACTCTAATTCACTTTGCTGGGTTTTTCAAATATGGTCTTTGATTGTCAAATTAATTATCGAAACAAATATTTCAAAATTGCACTTTTTTTATTGATTTTTCAATATGTCAACTTAAACAAATTCTTATAATTTCACAATTTTTTTCATTTAGTAATTAGCTCACCAGGTCCGAAGGCTAATGTGATACCGTGAAGTCTGTACATCAACAATTTCTTCAAACGACTTCTTCTACTTGACCACTGATTGGAATTTAACTTAATTTCACTGGAAGCTTCCCTAGGTGGTGGGGATTCAAAATTGTACAAGTGGTGAACTCTGTAGAAATACGCAATGGATATCAATCATATTTGGTTGGAAGCATTCATGGGAGGTGGGGATTCAAAATTGTACAAATGGTGGGGCTGACCCCCCTCCCCAGGGGGCTGAGGGGCGGGGCCAAAAAGGGTTATTTGGCTTTTTTGCTATAAGCGACCTTTTCTGGAACTTAGCAATGTATTTTGTTGGAAACTTCCCTTCATGGTGGGGATTAACAATTGTACAAATGGTGGGGCTGACCCCCCGGGCAAAGGATTAGGGCCAAAAATAGTTTATTACTTGGAAATGGTTAAGATGTGGTTTGATGACTTTCCTGAATCGGTTTAGGTTTGCTTATAACAAATGAAAAACCAGTTTCAGTTTAGAACTAGTTTTAACTGGTTTTCATTATAAAAAAAAGAAAATTTACAAAACCACTCTGAAACTAAAACTAGTTTTGTGATAACAAGTTCGCCTAAATTTGCCTCAAGTTTAATCTATAAAAGGACTTACATTTAATGTAGATTAGCCTTGTAATCTGGTCTAAAAGTTGGTTTTTGGAGCCAAATTTTGTTGTAATGGATTAAAACTTGTCCAAAACAGTAAAAACACAGTGATGTGCCGCAAGACTTACATTTTGCACCATTTTCCCATTGGAATCTATGTTGATGTACTTTTTTTTTCAAAACATTTTCGTTACTTCCAATTTTGATAAAACAGAATTATCCAGTATTTCCTCTGGTACAGTAATATATCATCATCCGTGATAAGAATAGAACTCTAGATGTTTCGGTTAACTTTGTTTCACACTTCACTTGATATTATCTTGTATATCACAGCACATTATCATATCTACATAAACTGATGAATTTATGTTTATATCTAAATGTCATCCAAAAACTATTTCAAAACTTTACTGCAGAACAAGCAGAAGCAAGTGTAGACCGTTGGTTATTTAGGACTTACTAAAAGCATAAGTTATAATGATAAATTTATTACACTGCTTGCTAGTAATGGACTAAACATATTAGAGCGAGTAATGGACTAAACATATTAGAGCGAGTTAATAAGCATTAATTGAGTTTACCATTGTTTACCATCAATACTTAGTCTTTACCTTTACCTGGACAGTCAATTTGCAATCAATTCATTTACTTCACAATTTTAACCAACTTAACAATCCTGCTGTCGTCATTAACTACACCATTTTGTGTCCATTTTGTGTCCCCATCTATTTATAGCTCATAATGTAAATTCTGTGGTACTGCTACAATCCAAAAATGAAGGAGAAAACTTTGTGGGGGGGGGGGGGGGGGTGCTGTTAAATTATTTTGATTTTTGTATCTGCGTCATAAAATCAATTTATTTTAAAGTTTTGAAATGACAACAAACTGATTTGCATAGGATATAATTTACAGTTTTATGAAAAAAAAGTTTGCTGTTAAAACTATACTATTAATGTTTTATTTTTCCCAGTATTGAATTTGGCAAACATGGATACATTTCTGTAGGAGCCAAGCTATATGAGTATCTGTTTAGACTATATTTTAAGGATGAGTATCTGTTTAGACTATATTTTAAGGATGAGTATCTATTTAGACTGTATTTTAAGGATGAGTATCTGTTTAGACTGTATTTTAAGGATGAGTATCTGTTTAGACTGTATTTTAAGGATGAGTATCTGTTTAGACTGTATTTTAAGGATGAGTATCTGTTTAGACTGTATTTTAAGGATGAGTATCTGTTTAGACTGTATTTTAAGGATGAGTATCTGTTTAGACTGTATTTTAAGGATGAGTATCTGTTTAGACTGTATTTTAAGGATGAGTATCTGTTTAGACTGTATTTTAAGGATGAGTATCTGTTTAGACTGTATTTTAAGGATGAGTATCTGTTTAGACTGTATTTTAAGGATGAGTATCTGTTTAGACTGTATTTTAAGGATGAGTATCTGTTTAGACTGTATTTTAAGGATGAGTATCTGTTTAGACTGTATTTTAAGGATGAGTATCTGTTTAGACTGTATTTTAAGGATGAGTATCTGTTTAGACTGTATTTTAAGGATGAGTATCTGTTTAGACTGTATTTTAAGGATGAGTATCTGTTTAGACTGTATTTTAAGGATGAGTATCTGTTTAGACTGTATTTTAAGGATGAGTATCTGTTTAGACTGTATTTTAAGGAGTGTTTTGGAGTTACAAATGTGTCTTATAAGGTGTCCTCTAGATCTGTATGTACCAGTGATGGGAATATTGAAGGGACTTGAGATTATATATACTCACTACTGTGGTTGTCATCAGAGCAGTGGGTCATCATTTCTTTATACCTGTACTGGTATAAAACCAGTGTGTTTAAATATAGGTGTACACAATCTTAGTTTGAAACTCAGTTTGTATGTGCTGATACAAGGTGTATCTCAACTAGATGATAGGTACTGATAATGTATCACAAGTTATCAGCCTGATGTCACAACTGTTAGACTAGTACTGCTGTTGAAGATAAAATAGAGAATTGCTGTCAAAAAGTACCTACCACCATCATTATTATGTAAAAGATGGTGCTCTCTAAAAACAAAAAACATCTTCGTTGTGAATTGGTTAGCAAACACTTTTTTGGGGAGGGGGCATCACTTAAGTGATCAGCAAAGGGACCATAATTGACACATGCTCCATTTCTAGAATCTTTATCACCCATGATCTGATGTTCGAAGTGGGTTTTTTATGTAATATTAGATCATGTAATAAAATGGTATGTAATGTTTTTCTTCTACAGATGGTCTGCGATGTATCAGCACATCAGTTGCTCAATATGCCCCAGGCAAATCAAGTAAGTCAATAAAACATTTAAAATAATTTTATTTTACTATTACTACTTTTGTTGCAAGAATATTTTCGTGTCTGTCATTAGGCCATTTTGAGATGAGATTTTCAATATTTGGCACCTGTAGTGCTAATTACACAAGGTAATGATACCAATGTACCAGGATTTGTTTTATTGTTTACATACTAAATGAAACCTCTCAATGGATTTTTCCAGATGTTAAATGTATTTACTGAGTTAATGCATTAGTTGGTGTGGATTTTAGCCAATTATCTGTACAAAATGAAAATACAATTACTTCTGTCTATATTGAACATGATCCTAACAAAAGAAAAACTGTTTCTCTTTAATATGGACATATTTCGGATTAAACAGAGTAAATATATATATGGAATTGTACATATGATTATTGTGACCTAGGTGAAGCTCTAGTTTCAGAGATTTTGGGATTATACAGGGTTCAGTTTAGACAGGTTACAATATAGTTGAAAAGGGGCTATTTGTGGATCCCTGAAAATCAACTCTTACAAAACATGACTCTTTATGGACATTTGCAAATTAAAAAAAGTTGGTGAATACATGTCCATAATCAGGGACCCCCCCCCCCCCCCCCCCCCCCATCATACTTAGAGCTTTACAACAGTGTACAGTATGAAGAATATATAGTTTTCAAAGTTCATTTCATAAATGGCATTAAATGCATATATTAAAAAACCTATAGGCTATATACAATTTGTATGTCAATGCTATATCATCCAATTCTGACTTTGGTTTTCTTCTTCAGACAAAAAGACCTTGGGTGGAAAGCAGGGCCGAAACATTGTCCTGGTGGAAGGGGTGAGGACTCCATTTCTCATGTCGATGACGTCCTATCAGAACCTGATGCCTCATGATCTGGCCAGAGCTGCTCTGTCGTAGGTCCTATTAATATTGCTAACAACAGTTTATAAACATTGGAAGAATAATTAATTTCCTGCCAAACAAGTTGAAAAATAAATGAATAGTTTTGTAAGAATAGGTCCTAAATTTCATATTGATATTATTTAGTAAACCAGTATAACACATGTATTCTAAAGCAAGGAAGCTTTGAATTTAGATGACATGGCCTAATCAGTTAAAGGCTTTTCATGACAACTCCAAACAAATTGAAAAACAGTTGAATAGAATTGTAAGAAAAGCTAGGTCCTATATTTGATAATAGTATTGTAAGAAAAGGTCCACCAACCTATATTTTATAATATTACATCTATTCCTGTGAAACTGAATTTTGATGACATGACTGAGCCAGTTAAAGAATTTCCTGACAACTAACATGTTCCATAGTTGTGGAAACCGTTGTATCCATTCAGGATTCCTTGTACACATTTTAGTAATCACTTGCTCACTGCTACACATGTAGTCGAATCTGAAATTTAAACTTTTATTATGCCCAAAAACGTGAAAGGTAGGAGTGGAGGCCATATAGCATTTCCCATGTCTATGTCTATCCATCTCTCCCACTTGGCCTCATAGCTCTATCACCATAACCTCTGACAAAACTTTTACATAAATACCTTAAACAAATTTGAGGGTCATTATTCTTATGTTAAGGTCACCCAATATTGTATTTAAGATAGAACAAAGTTTGTCAGCACTATGCTGACTTTGTTTGGTGATACTCCACAGACTTTGTTTGGTGATACTCCACAGACTTTGTTTGGTGATACTCCACAGACTTTGTTTGGTGATACTCCACAGACTTTGTTTGGTGATACTCCACAGACTTTGTTTGGTGATACTCCACAGACTTTGTTTGGTGATACTCCACAGACTTTGTTTGGTGATACTCCACAGACTTTGTTTGGTGATACTCCACAGACTTTGTTTGGTGATACTCCACAGACTTTGTTTGGTGATACTCCACAGACTTTGTTTGGTGATACTCCACAGACTTTGTTTGGTGATACTCCACAGACTTTGTTTGGTGATACTCCACAGACTTTGTTTGGTGATACTCCACAGACTTTGTTTGGTGATACTCCACAGACTTTGTTTGGTGATACTCCACAGACTTTGTTTGGTGATACTCCACAGACTTTGTTTGGTGATACTCCACAGACTTTGTTTGGTGATACTCCACAGACTTTGTTTGGTGATACTCCACAGACTTTGTTTGGTGATACTCCACAGACTTTGTTTGGTGATACTCCACAGACTTTGTTTGGTGATACTCCACAGACTTTGTTTGGTGATACTCCGCAGACTTTGTTTGGTGATACTCCGCAGACTTTGTTTGGTGATACTCCACAGACTTTGTTTTCTTTTGATTTGGATGAAACTTCGGGCAACTTATGATTCAGTACACAAAGACCTCAAATTTACAATGAACCTAAACTTGATGGATGGAAGGCATGTGGACAACAGGAGCCTTCCCGTCTCAGTCATTGTCTAATTTAATGAAGCAAATGGCAAATTCTTCTCAACCATTATGTAGTCAATTACATCTTATCTTATTTATTACATACAAATGAATTTCAAAATCATATTAATTTTCTAGAAGACGCATGAAAACTAATAACTCAGCTACCATTCAATTTTTGACTGACTTGGACGAGTCAGGTTATTTAAGTTGTTTTCGAATATTGATTGCATTGTGATATTATTTCAGGGGACTCATAAGGAAGACAAACATGGACACAAGTAAGTTGAAACACAATATCTGCTGTTACTATAACAATAGAATTGTTCATTTGAAAGCTTCAGCATTCACTTCCTGTCCTGATATTGGAGGACACAGGTTTTATGTGATTAATCAGCAAAATACCTTTTTGCCTTTTACCAGTGTAATTCCTTTTTGCTCAGTGTTAATTTCACCATGCACTATTACTATTTGTACAAAGCTGTGTGGTAATATTTGCTGTCATAATTAGTTAAAACTGCCATTGTGGAGTGTGAAAGATAAAAAATTGTGACAAACATGACCTAAATCTGCTAAATATAGAATATAAACAACACTAAGAGTTGTTATTAATATGGTTATATGCCTAAAACTCAACTGTTGACATCATAAGTAATGTAAACATTTGTTGAATGTCTGTTTATAATTTTCTGCCGTAGGTATTGTTGACTACATTTTGTATGGAACTGTCATTCAGGAGGTGAAGACAAGCAATGTAGCAAGAGAGGTAAGTTCTAGAAACTACGACACAATAACATTATGAAATTCAGTTGGTGAAAATTGATCAAAATTTTACACCCTGTTGACCTGAAATTAATTTATCAGTATCTTTCACACAGGATTAATAATTCCCACAATTTTGACAAGAACGATTTAGAGTTTTATTACTAGTGTAAAATCTGTTTTAAATTGTTAAAATCCTGAATTACATAGGGTTTTTTGGACATAATTTTAACCCAGTGACCTGGTAGATGCTAGTTTGACTCCGAATGTCAGAGGGATCCTGTATCATTGTATAGATGTAGTTTATTCTTGCACTATCCACAGTAAAATATTTATTGTCCATCTAATCAGTTTTAAGTAGAACAGATTCAGAAATGACTGATGATTAAAAAGTGGTAACAATCATTGTGACAGTAGCTTGATGAGGAGATATTTTTGTAGGCGGCCCTTGGAGCTGGATTCCCTGATACCATCCCCGCCCACACAGTCACACAGGCCTGTATCTCATCTAATCAAGCCATCACCACAGGTAAGACAGTCACCAAACCTCGTATATGTTCAACTTATCAAGATTTCCTTAGTAGGTTATACTAGATTTATTTGACTGTATAGAGTGCATGAGATTGACATTTCTAATCTATTTTATCATCTGTCCCTTTTATCCCTTTTTACCGACGTGTCTGTGGCAAAAAACAACAACATTTAGGTCTTGAAACAATCTGCTTGCTTTACTGAAGGGTTCCTGATAAGGATTCACAGACAGGATATTAAGCAAATTTGTTTCGGTTTGACGAATCTGACAAGGCATGCTACCTCTAAACCAAATTAGTATGTGTGTCCTTTCACAGATTAATTGTTGAAATGATGTACATTTTCATGGATGACAGGAATTTTTCTTTTGTGGATATGAAGGTGTAATTTTCATTTCCTAGATATATTCCTTATCCTTTCACAGATATAGGAATGGTGTGTCTTTTCTTGTTTCACAGTTTCAGGGATGACATTTAGTTTCATACATATATAGCATCCCTTCTACAGACAGGGATGTTGTTTGTCGTTTTACAGTTACAGGGATGACATTATCCTTCTACAGACAGGGATGTTGTTTGTCGTTTTACAGTTACAGGGATGACATTATCCTTCTACTTACAGGGATGCTGTTTGTCGTTTTACAGTTACAGGGATGACATTATCCTTCTACAGACAGAGTTGTTGTTTGTCGTTTTACAAGTATTGGGATGATGTGTTGTTTGTCGTTTTACAGGTATTGGGATGATTGCGTCAGGATCTTGTGATGCTATAGTAGCGGGAGGAGTAGAGTTTATGTCTGATGTTCCAATCAGACACAGTCGTAAAATGAGGAAGTTGATGTTACAGCTTAACAAGTCCAAGAACAAGGCTGGCATCATTATGAAGATGCTGTCACCATCTGCTCTCACACCTGAGGTTGGTCTGTCAATAAACTTGTACTCAGCTTTTAGTATACCTGGTACATGTTTTTGAGAAAACATGAAATTCTGGTAGAATAATATGTGTGTTAAAACTAGCCCTAAAATTATTCTGTATATACTGCAGTCTAATTCTCTTATTAAAGGCCAAGAAGTGAAATAATCCTGTCAATACTGTGTAGAAAATAATTAAGATGATGGCAAATATCATTTAAGAGCTGAAGTTTTGCTACCATCTGTTTTATATTATAAATTAGTGATGAAGTATTAGCCACTTGTAACAACATTAGCTCCATTAAATTTCCCTATTTTTTTTCAGCTACCTGCTGTTGCTGAATTTTCTACCAATGAGACAATGGGACACTCTGCAGACAGATTATGTGCAGCTTTCAAAGTCAGCAGACAAGAGCAGGTATTAAAGTCATGACACTTTACTTTAATTGGATTTATTGTTTTAGCTCTCTTGGATGAAATGGCTTGGCATGTGTAATAAAATTATGTAATTTGGGTAGTTGTGAACATATTTCATCATAACTTTACAAATAGAGAAACCACATTGAATAACTTAACATTTTTACATGTACACATATAACTTTTCTCCTTCATAACAAGCTATACTATCTCCAGACTCTTCATGGAGAAAAAGGAATCTCTATTTTGAAAAAACCCGCTATTTTCCTGCTACATTAAAAGTCTTCCGTTTAAGGATGAGTTTGCTCTGAGATCCCACACACTTGCACATGAAGCAACTGAGAAGGGACTCCTCTCCGATGTCCTCAGCTACAAAGTTCCAGGCGTAGCAGAGCCAATCACCAAAGACAATGGAATAAGACCCTCCTCTATGGAGAAGTTGTCCAGTCTGAAGCCAGCCTTCATCAAACCACACGGCACCATCACTGCAGCAAACGCATCATTTTTGGTAAGACTGTGCACTGAAAGCGTTGTTTACCGATGATAATAGCATTCTTATAAACATAGCATGGCTTAATGTACAATGAAAGCCTACTTATTCATATACTAAAAGCATGCTTTATCATAACGATGATGCATACAATATTTTACAGAAAATAATACCTGTCAGAAGTAATCTACTCGCCCAATGAAGATTTTCCATGAATTTGTCATTTTGGAGGACTATTGCAAAAAACTTGGTACTAATTTTAAAGGATGTCAAAATCCAACACATCTAATTTAAAGGGCAAGTGCAAATATTCTTAACACATGAGCCTAGGGGAAGTACGTTATATAGCTCATTTACATGTAGTAGTGCAGTGAATGAAATAGGGTAAGTAGAATTACAGTTTTGGAAAGTGCTCGCAAACACTTTTTCATGCCCCTGATTTTGAGAGAAACAGAATAGGTGTTGATATATTTACCTTGATCTAAGGAACCTGAAGTTTGACGGTATTTAAGTTTATTTTTATGTCCTTTCAGACTGATGGAGCATCAGCATGTCTAATCATGGAAGAAGAGAAAGCCTTGGCCATGGGATTTAAACCCAAAGCCTACCTGAGGGACTTCCTTTATGTGTCTCAGGATCCTAAGGACCAATTACTGCTGGGGTGAGTGTAGTATCGCACTGCATGATTGTACTAGAGTGGGGGGGGGGGGGGGGGGGGGGGGGGGCTTGCTGAATCCTGGGCTTTTCTTCCTTCTTTGTCTTTTTATAGGGGACAAAGGGGTAGTAAAAGAGAGGTTTTGTCCTCATATGACTTTAGCTGTTGTAAAAACTCCAAATAAACAGGTAAACCGTCCTAGTTTTATGATTGTATGTTTTTACTTTTAAGTCCATCCTGTAAGCTTCAGACATTGTTTATCAGTCCCCACTGGTACTACCTGGTAGCTGAGAGAACTATAAATTTGTCAATCAGTCTGTCTATACATCACTGTATTCAGGGCATTTCTTGTATATTGTATAAGTACCTTGGGATGGTTGAGTGTGGGACACTAATCAGGTCTCTTGTCCCTCTTTGTTCTTTGTTGATACCATAATTTGTCAAGTGGTCGAGGGGAGTATGGATTGCTTGCAATACTTCCCCTTGTAACTTGTCAAGAGGTCGGGGGAGTATTGATCGCTTGTAATACTTCGCCTTGTTGTATGGAATACTTAATCTACAGGAACAATGTATAAAAAAATATTTTTAAAATCTTTATACTATTTACTTACTTTTCACAGACCAGCATATGCTACACCCAAAATCCTGAAGAAAGCTGGACTCTCCATGTCTGATATCAGCGTGTTCGAATACCATGAAGCTTTTGCAGTAAGTGTCCTGTTTTTCAACAGGTATTTAAACGAATAGAAGACAAATATATGATGAATTTCTAAAGAAAGTTTGTATGGAAGGCACTTTTGCATATAGTTTGTAAACACTATCTCCCAAAGACATGTAATTTGTGTAATTGTAGCTAAATCAATAATTACAGTGCTTCAGGATCAGCATAGAATATCTATCATGTATTATATAGTACTCATAAACTTTTTTTCTGTTTTCCCAGGGCCAGATTTTGGCAAACTTGAAAGCTTTGGACTCGGATTGGTTTGCTAAGAACCACATGGGAATGAGTGAAAAGGTATGCTTATATAAATGTGTGTCTGTCCCACATTCTTAAAACATATACATTGCATCAAATAACACTACAGACTAAAGAAAAAAATTCAACACAGAAATAACTGCACACGCAAACTTGATGGCTGACGATAATTTTACCAGTTTTAAGCAATTTTTTTTCTTCTGACAGGAAAGGCCATGGTTTAAGAATAAACAAACATTACCTATTGACCTTTCATTGTTGCCAGTTTGGTGCCATTCCCATGGACAAGTTTAACCTGTGGGGAGGATCTTTGTCACTTGGACACCCATTTGGCGCCACAGGAGTCCGACTGGTAACAACAGCAGCTCACCGCCTTGCCAAGGAAGATGGTCAGTTTGGACTGGTGGCAGCCTGTGCAGCCGGAGGCATCGTAAGTGAAACAGTATCTGTCAATGTGTTGATCTTAAGAGCTAAAGAAACAGCTTCAGTTCTGACATTAAATTCCATGTCCCTAATGCCTTTATATAATAGCATCTGTTAATATTTATTATTATATTTAATATTTATTCTGTTTAAATCTTGTTTTCCTGGGTGTGCTTTGAAAAAAGACAAAGGGGAGGAAGGATGCATTCATTTTGTTTTCTATTAAAGATTTCTATAGAAGTTTTATTCCATGAAAGCAAATACCCCAGTACATTTATTAGCCACAGAATGAAGTCGGTTTAAACAGTATCTTTGTTCTGTAGAATTTGACAAGAGCACACCTTGACATTTTGCTTTTCATTAGTGTTTTGCTTGCTTAATTTGTATGTATTAACCAAGATTTTATGTACATCAAAAATATTTGTTAAAATGTCTTATATCTTATGTTTTCAAGGGCCACGCAATGCTTGTTGAGCGATACCCATCGACGTGAGGACCCAAGCAGATCTGTCCAATCAGCAAAATAGTCTGATCATCTGGAGTGATTTTCCTTTGACATCATTTAAGACACAGATGGAGTGTCACAATGGACCGATGAAGCCCTGTTTGAAGTGAACTTTACTGGATTGCAGAAGTAAAAATGCTGTGGGGCATTGGACAAGTAAATGAAAGCAAGTTGTTGTGATTGTGTAGAGGATTACTCAATGAGATGAAATGGTGATATAGAGGCTGCGAACAACACATTGATGGATGTGGACAATTTAATTGCTACGCTGGGTTTCACTCGTAATATAATTACGCAAGTGGAACTCGTGTTTAAATCTCATTTTTCATTTGAACTGTGATACATCACATTTGTAAATTATTATTTATATTAAAATTGTGAGAATATGAACAAATTCTTTTTTGGTTTCTATTTATAAAGAAAGAGTAACACACAATTATCAATGTTTATCTTCAGTTTCAGGGACCACTTAAGGTATATGAATGGAAGTGACCATATATAGATAGATCGATCTAGTACTGCATTAATGAAACCAATCGGAGCAAGTCTCGGTTATGGTCAGAATAATTGTGATTACATTCACACCACTGATTCAGGGAGCATAACTCCATAAATTACAGGGCTATGATTGTTTAATGGTTTCAGCACAATTAGTTAATAAAATATGACAAGCTAGGTCAGTAGTTGTGTTATACAAAGGTTAAGTTTGAGGGAAAATTAAGCAAAATAAAAGAATCGCACAGGAAATTCTTTGATTTAAATCGCAGGTACGGGCCACATTACTGCAGGCCTTTTGGTTCTTCAGAAGCTGTCGAGTGTTTAACAATTTGACTTTTGCAACCTTAAATATACATAATGATGACTTTTTTCCTGAAATATTGCAATTATCATGACTCAACTTGATGTTTCAGAAAAAGTAGTTAGAAAGTTTTTACAAATTTGAACCCTGTGAATTCGGGGAAAAAATCCATGTCATCTATTTGCCCACTTTGCAGCATCCCATGTTAGGAAAGTACTGGCTACGCATGACTCCAGGCCCGTTGGTTATTCAGAAAAGATGTTTGGAGATGAACGATGTATTGCAAAGTGCCCCCTAATGGTCATATTTATAAAAAGATTTTGGTTTCCTTTCCAAACTCTGTATCCCCTTTGGACCCTCAAAGGGGCCAGACTCTTCTCTTTTACAACCTAAATCACTTGGGATACTGCCTACCAAATTTGGTTGTGATTAGCCTTATGGTTTTTGAGAAGAGGTTCAAAGAAAAGTGTACAGATGAATGACAAACGGTGATGCCGGGACAGACAGAAATGGAGTCCAATAGTTCACATGGCCCAAAATGGAGACAACATTCACAATGTTTTTACATGTTAGCACCAAGACCATATACCCAGGTAGATGTTTTCTTTCATTTTATTTCCTTGCATTAAAAGAAAAAATACAAACAAGAAAGATAAATCTACATACAAATATTTTATAATTATATACAGTCAAGCTTATTCACTTCACACCGCTGTAAAACCTTAATATACACAGAACTTGTTCACAATTTGAGTAGTGTGAATATGACATAAATGTTGATTTTATTCTGGGATTGAGGGAATGATGGTTAATATTTCTTATAATTATGCACGGTATCAGCAAAACATACATTAATACAATAAGTACTCTTGCATGCTTTAAATGAATTATTGATAGATTGTGTGAACTTCTGCATGCTCAAGATTTTTGTACTAATGAAAAAAAACAACAATTTTTTGATATTCAGAAGAGACAGACAAATTTGTAAACATATAAAATATTGAAACAATTCAATTCTGAAATGGTGTTGCAAAGAGAAATATTTATTGTGGAATTAATGAGTTAACTCCATCAGTTTTAAATTTACCCAATTTTTACTTTCAAAATTTCAAACTATATAAGATCATATACTGATATAAATGTTTACAAACCCCATTGTGTCATAACACCTTACTATAGCATGGTAGACAAATTGTGATGGCATTCATATCCACTATGCATGCCATAGCCCAAATGTTTGTCAGTGTTATTATGAAATCATTGGACACCAACCACACCCTTCTGAAGATGACATTTCAATTCATTAAACAAGCATGCACTCTACATGAATTTCCCTTGAATTAAATGATTAATATTAACTGAACTCCATTTTCTATGATGAAGAAATATTCCTGACAAAGAAATCATTTTTTGTAACTGAATTGCTGACACACTATATAGAACTTGTCATTCATGAATTAAAACTGAATTCAGTTTAATGCTTCAAAAAAGCAAAACCCCAATGCCAACAGATGGTACACTGCAATACTTGGAATGGCCTCGGACAGTCACATTTATTGTGAAATGCTCAATTCCATCGAACAAAATACAGCAGTAAATTGGATTCATTGTATATGAGGTATTATGTTTTTCTTTGTATAAATGTATCATATAAATGTGACCTCTTGTTTTAACATAGTGTGACATTGTGTAAATAAAAATCTTGAATCTTTAGTCAAACCTGTTTTTAGAGACCATCTTCAGAATTCCATTATAAAGTAGTCTCGTCCCATCTACCTCTTTTCCACTTCAGAAGACTTTAAGAGTCCTCCTCTATACTCATACAAAGACAGTTATCGGTTGATGCCTTTTAATGGAATTTATTAAAACATTTTGAAAAAGATTCACAGTAATGTAGCAGTTAAAGTATAAATATAAAAATAATCATTACTGGTGGATTAAGCCCCCTGCCTTATAATCAAAGAGATCAAGCCCGGGGGGAGATGTTTTTTTAATAGATACATTTCTTTTGAAAACTCTCTGCTTCAGTAAAGGATAAGAAATTCCAAGTCAGAAAAAGACCATATTTAAGGTTTTCTTCATTAGAGATACAACACAGAGGCTCTTGATCTTAATACAAGTTAAGTAATAAGAAAATAACTGCGATTAGGAGTTTTGAATGAGGTGGTCTCCAGGGAAGGTTTGACTGTAATATTCTAGGTAAACATACAGGTGTAATATTGTCCATACAACATTTATACAATGTACAGCACGTCAATTGGTAGATTACATAATTACAGTATTAATGAATGGACTGGAGGCATAGTTGATGAGATCAAAGAATGGTTTCAAAACAATTGCAACTACTGGCTTTAAGTTCCGTGGAAGGCAAGGATCCGTTCCTGAGATCACATTTCAAAATAGAATGATTATTTTCCTGATTTTATTCACTGTGGAGTAAAAATAGGATTGTGCATTCATTCTACTAAGCATCAATAAATAGTCATTTATACAGAGGAAAATGATGTGTCATCTTACAATTACCGATAAAAAAAAGGGAGTAATAAAAATCACTGAGCAATAACACCAGTAAACCATATAAATATTACCATACGTGCTGAATATAATTTATAAACGGTGATGGATAACAATTGGGTAAAGGCAACCAAGCAAATAAATTAACACATCTGAGTATCATTATCTGGTATTCTAGGAATTTCATGAATAGCAAAAAAAACCAAAAAACACTAGCTTTAACATGAAAAACCTGATTTACAAAATTTTACATTTTTATTAAGACTTTTTTCACAGAAACTTTTTAAAAATACACATCATGTATACAAACGGTCAAGATATCATTGCCACATTATTTCATTCAATAGAAAAAAAAATCACATAAAAATAATGTAGTTTTAAGACCTAAGAATATGGTTTAGCATCAAGGTAGATATAATTAAACAAAGAAATGTCTTAAATTAAGCTGGCACAAACAATATGGGGATATAAATGGACTGATAAGCAACTTTTTAATAAAACTGTCAAAATTATATTGTTGCAATTTTTTTCCTGAATAGATATAAAATTGACATTTGACTCATGTTGGAAAAGTACATACACTGTATAAATATATCATGAGCTCTATATCCGAAAATAAGGAAAATGTAGTCAATAAAATACTGTCTTTGAAATGTATTCGAAAGACTAATACATCGACTTCATTTTCCGATTTTATAAGAATGATGTTAAACCAAGATACTAAAATAATTATGATCTTTAATGACAAATATTTACAATATTGTTTCATATTTAATAATGAGTTTAGTATTCAGCATATTATTACCAGGTATAATGGTTACTGTATACAATTCCCTTTGTTGGGGAATCAATATTTCAATTTCAAGTTAAATGTTCATATGGTTTGGAACAGCAACACGTTTTCAATAAATTCTGTTACAACATTTCACAATTATCTCAGTTTTCAGTTTAGCAATTTCAAACAAGAAGCAAAATTTACCTGGTATGTCAAAAGAAGGTGGAAGCAGTTTCATATGCTGCATGAATGATCTGGACTAATGGACTTTCTCACTGTAAAAATCAAGTCATCATTTAATCCACCAACTGTGGGCCAGCTCTTTACTTCTACCTCGATATCAGATAGAATATCATAGAAAAGAAAACCTTCAAAATTGAAACGTCCCCCCCCCACCATTTTCAATTACAACGATGAATAATACCTTTAAAAAATATTTTTTAAACAACAATATTAGTATTTAGGTGAATAACATCATGGTCGTAATAACATCATAATCAAATTTATTTAGAATTCATTAGTTTGTGTACTGTAATTTGATGTAAATATCTGGTAACATCCATGATTACATGTATAGGTGGTACCAGATTGTAGTATTTGAGATGTACATTTCAAGTGATTATTGTTTAATTAATAGGTAACATTGCAGTGGACATGTAAACATCTCACCTTTCCCCTCAAATTGAATTTGTCAAGACCAAAAATAGTTTTAAAAGTATATAACAACTGACATGCTAATACAGGTATTCAACAAGGAATAAATTACAATTATTTACACCATTGGTAATTTTTACAAGTAAATATATGTACATGATAACCTAGGTCCAACAGACGATATAAATGAGGCTGCTGGTCCCTGTATGTGATAATTTAGAAGAATGTTTCTGCAGAACTTAAAAACCCCTTCTCCAAGTTTGTGTACAGACACGACATGGAATTGTAAAAATCTTCAACTGATACAAAAATAATACAAGAGGACAGGAGATAGCACAGGTACCCTTAATACAAAATTAAGGCAGTTTGTTAAATAGTTTACCAACAAATTCTCTTGTTTTTCTCCCTATCGTTTTTTTTATCCAGGAATTTTCTATCATCCAAAGTTCCACACACACACACACACACATTAATGAATGTCGCCTATTTACACAAGTACATATTAGATAAATTTCCCACAAACATATTAAACCTACAAGTAAAAATAAATTTTCACGGCTGGATACTATCACTACACACTATCATATCATTTAAATATCTTCAATATTATTCATCAGTTTGGAAATATGTAATATCAAAGTTTTACTTTATACACAAACAATATAAGTATGAAACGTGTCGCAATGTTTCGATACTGTGTGTATGCACTCTTCATCGATAGTGAAACGTCCTGGGTCGAGTGACATGAAATATACACTTTTGTCACATTTTTGTACAGGTACAAATCGTTCACTCAGTCATAGCTTGACAAAGGAACCAGTCGGTCTATGTTGCTACACGTTTAATACATATACATGTTTGTGCATAAAGAAAAAGTTTGATATTACATATTTCAAGAATGGCAAGGGACCCTCAATTTGTACATGATGTTTAATAAGTGTATTCCATTGTTCAACCCAGTCGAACAGAAAACCTGCACTATCACATAACCAATGAAATGCCATATAGCAACATTCTTAAGCAATGAATAATGGTCCTTACTTTTATGAACACCTTGTGCTGTTCTCAAATACTGAACATAGCAGCTGGGTTTTATTACTTCTGTGCAACTCAGCCTCTGCCCCCATTCAGTGTACTGACTTTTGTTTCATTGTGGGCACCATCGGAATGAAGACATATGGCATAGGCACTTTCCTATTATATAGACTGTCGATAGTCTTTGCCATACATGAACACAACAAATAATGCAAGCAAGTTTTTTGTTGGACCTATGCCACTAAGTTGTGACTTCACAATGTTAGGTTTAGTTGTGTTCAGTGTGCAAGTACATTTGTGTTCAGACACTAATTTTCATGAACAAAATGATAATGTAAATTGGTGTTTTTTTGTCAATTAAATTCTTTAAATCAATAACTGTTAGAGATTTGAATAAAAATATATTAAAGAGGTTGGGGTGTTACCACTGTTCTTTAAAAAAGATATGTAACATTTCTACTGTAACTGATATCTGCAGGCCTTTATCTTACAAACATGTCTTTCTCCTTGTCATAGAAGGCTCTGGGATTTTATCTGGATTTTCTTACTATGTAACGTGCCTATTTTTTTAACACAAACACAAAGATGGTAAAACAGTGCCTTACAAAGCAACTTAATAAATATCTTGACACACTCTCTCTCAAACTACGCCATGAATGATCAATTGAGACACATAATTTGTTCACCTTACACAATACCCTCTTACTCTACCTTTATGAAAAATAGAATCTATATAAATCAACAAGTTCACATTACACAAAATAATGCTCCTCACAAAACAGACTTTCCATCAGTGGCAGTGTGAAAGCTTTAGGAGGCCATTTGTTGTGTTGTTGGAACAGTTGAAATGCTCACTGAACAATATTTGGGGTATTTGGTAATATGAACTCAGGAGCAATCTACTGGTCTACTATAACATCGTCAACGGAAATACCTGGACAGTAGTTTGACTGCCAGAAAATAACATCATACCTTAAAGTCTAAATAACTCAACCAGGATGGTTTTGAATGCATCATATTGTGAACATAGATCTGAAATCACACTGTTCCTACAACACAACGAAATGTCTCGGCACAATGTTTTAGCCCGGAGTTTAGTGATCATCAACATGAAAGACTGTTAAGTGAATAGTTCCCTGCAGTATTGGTAGTAGCTGCTGTATGCCCGCTACACAGATCCAGTGGAATGGCTGGTCATATGGCTAAAGCGTTTTACACAGTCTTCTAGATTCTGAAACATACAAAATATCCTTTAATTATGTAACATGTTATTCTACATCTTTAATTATGTAACATGTTATGCTACATCTTTAATTATGTAACATGTTATTCTACATCTTTAATTCATTGCATGTCAGTTCATCATGCTATGTTGAAAAAGACAGCATCCATTTTTAGGTACTGTATAATTGCTTACCGTGCCAAACTTTACAAATACTGTAAATTATATATTTTCATATGCTATTTGTTTTGTTTTTTGGCAATTTCACGCTAATATTTGCAGTCATGATGATATGCTGTATACAGTATTATCCCAAACATACTAAATCATATAAAGAGTTGTGTACCATCAAGTGACACTATTATACAAACCTCAGTCAGCACAGTCTTGTCAAACTCTTCCCGGTGGTGGTATATGCACTGACTTAGCATACTGTACAACTTCTCCAGTTTCTCTACATCTAAGTTGTGTGTGATTCTGACCAAGGTTTCCAACAAACTTGACAGTCTATTCTCATCAATGACTACAGGCTCGCTGGGAGCCTCTAGAATTGCGAGTGCTCGCTCCTGTTCTTTGGTCTGGAGACGAGATCGTGTCATACGAATTCCAGGTGATGGTACTGTAAATGAAAATAAATCTTTTATCTGACCATGATTTGTATTTTGCATTACATCCAATTCAGGACTCATCTTGTTGGACCTGTATTTATTTCAAAATATGAAATTTAAAATCCTGATTTACTGGTTTCTGCCTTAATCACATTGTCTCTCAGACAACCACAGATTAACAATTTTTATCTGCATCATCGTTCAAAAATAAATAAATTAACATGTCAAAAAGCAGTGATACCTTTATCTTCCGGTTCTGCAGCCTTCGGACTTTTGGTTTGATCTTCCTTTTCCCTGTGCACAGTTACTTCAGTTGTTACCTTCAATATTTAAGTGGAATATTGATATTTTAAAAAAAACCACAAAAACACCTAACAATATTGTATTAAAAGAAATTCTGTGTACTAAGTTTTTTTTCTCTTTCATTTTTATTTGAGACCATTTTCACAGGAAGGAACATCAACAAAATCAAAACATCAGGTAAAGAACAATTTCACTTTATACCAAGTCACTATTTTGGATAATATCATGTTTTCTTCAAAACAATTTTCCCCTCTATATAATCTATGAAATGTAGGTTCTGTGACTTGCTTTGATGTAAATATCACTAAACCTGTTCAATCTCCAAACTATACACTCAACACTGCAAAACATATGAGGATTTTTATTTATAAACAATACTTAAAAGTTAAATCAAAGCTGCGCACTGTTCTTTTTTAGGATTTCTTCAATATTAGTAAATCTCAATTGAAACATAATATGTAGAGTTCTTTCAACAAAATGTTTGTTATCACAGTCTGGTATAACATCAAACACAATATCGTGTTCAACTGTTTCACAAAAAGTCATTATTTTTGTATCAAGAAAAAATATTAACTAATAATGTTATAATTAGCTTTACAGTGATTCACGATACTATAGATATTGTTCAAGATCTTTTTACAATCTATCCTTTCACAAATATTGTGATCTCTTAAATAGAACACTTCAGTTTTTAGTAACTGTGTATTTTTGAATGAAAGTAATGGTCCCCAAGGTGGTTGGTTAACCCATGGAAGAAAGGTTCGCAGACAGGAACTTACCTTTCCTTTCAGTTGTTTCGCCTGGTCAACACCATCGAGGGAGTCTCCATTACTGTCCACTGAACTGCCTACCCCACTGTCCACTTCCCCGTTAACACACAACACATTGTCTTTAATTAACATGTCCTTACATGGTGTTGTGTGTTCTCCTGAAGATGCTGAGGTATATATTTTGTCCTGGGAGGTTGTGTGTTTTTCCTGAGATTCCTGTTCACACTCTTTACTAGGACTTGAAATTTGTAAATTATCTGATTGTTCTACTTCATCTTGTCCTTCACTACACTTCCGCATTCTTTTCTTAAACACCGGTGAGCTTTTCTCATCTCCATGTGAGATCTCCATTTTTGACTCGGAATTTTCATCATCAATCATTACTGGAGGACTACACTTTGGTATACTTGGTGAATGTTTGTGGAGATCATTTTCCCTTGCCCTGGGCGAGTTGGTTCTCCTTCTGCTAACAGGCGACATCTGTGCTTGCTCCCTTGGTGACAAGTCTCGCCTTGGAGACAGGTCTGTCTGGTTTCTAGGCGACATGTCTCTTGGAGACACTGGGGATATATGTAGTTCTTGAGTCACATCAACATGGATATTGTCAGTTTTGTCTCCTGCATCTACTTCCTCTTCTTCCTCCTCCTCCTCCTCCTCTCCTTCTGTATTCATTTCATTCTCAAAGGTGAATCTCCTTTTCCTCCTGCGGCGTTTCGTATAACTCCAAACTATTTTTTTCTTTGGACGACTTTTATGTGAAGAGGGTGATACAAAGCGAATAGGTTTCTTTGAAGATGAAAGCGACTTTGATGACAAAACTTTCGGGGTTTGCTTCTCATTTTTGATTGAAGACGGATTCCTCTTTTCTATTCTCCACTGAGCCTCGAGCAATTGCTGATCGACTGATGCCTCCACACCAAGGCCTCGTGCCCTGCGACTAGTGCGGTGGTTACTGTTGCTCACTGCCACAGGCGTGTTTTGACTAGAGGAGGTAGGTGTTTGGGAGTTCTTCGGCAATGTAAAACAGAACTGTGGTGCTGAATCTGATGGATTTACACCTAAAAACAGTTAACAAAACAACTGATTTTTAATCCTAGTTTCTAAAACAGAATCCTTATTTTATGTAAAACAGAACTGTGGTGCTGAATCTGATGGATTTACACCTAAAACAGTTAACAAAACAACTGATTTTTAATCGTAGTTTCTAAAACAGAATCCATGGACAAGTTCTTCCAGAGATTCACGTCTCTATGATTAAACAGGTGTAACATGGAGGCCTATACAAAATACTATAGAAAAGATGTTACTATATAGGAATTGAAGTTTTACATCAGTTGATTGAATGCTTTGCTGTGTATGTAATAGTGTACAACCCCAGGCATATCTCCACCTTCAACTGTTGTAGTGGTGAACAAGATTCATGAAACAAATCATTCACAAAACACTAAACCACTGTATTAAAGGAAAGCAAATCATCCACACAGATAAAGTATTTCACAGTAGAATTTGAGACCATTTTGTTAAAAAAATGTATATGATTACCAAATGTATTAGTATTTCTTTAAAGGATATAAAAAATTGCCAGTGAAAAGACATCTCAATATGCTCAAGAAGGTATCCAGATTGAGCAACCTTCAGAAAATGAGTATTTTTTTTTAATTACGAGAATATAAGTGCAATCTGAAAGCTGGTAAAATAGGGTCTGTTAAAATAGTTCAAATACATCTGGTTGAATAAGCCTCTGACAGTATAATGTAGACACCTGTATTTATTTCTCTCAAACTAAAAGTCATTCAACTATCCTGATATTATTTAACTATGTGAAGTCTTCTCCAGAATAATCAGGCAAGACCTTTACAGGATTGTAAACTTGTGGAAAAATTAAGTAAGTACTAAATACTTCTTCAATGCGAAATTATTCACCATGAAAGTTATAATAAAAATAGACCTTCTTTGAGGATAAATACATGTTTAGCCATGGGCTAATCTTCCACATGGTCCTGTTAAAAGCAATGTATATAATTTACCTCTACGCTTTCTGGAGGCTACGACTTCATCACAAGCTTTCTCAAACTCAGGGTCCAATTCAGCATTGAGAATGGCGTTAGAAGTGTCCTTTAAGGCACAGGCTCTATGTCGGATGGCACGACCTGAAATTACAATGTCAGTAATTCTAAATGTAGATTATCATCTTGCACAGTTTTATATTACCAGCCAAGATTTCATTATCGCTGATGTTTGACTCAAATTCGGTGACCTTTGAATTGAATAACTTCAATGGTACCTTGAATCTCATACAGTGTTTATCCATTATTAATCACTTGCAAGCTTGTAAAGATTAACCTTTTTGTTTGTTTGTGTTTGACGTCCTATTAACAGCTATGGTCATATAAGGACATGCCAGGTTTTTGTGGTGGAGAAAAGCCGGAGTTCCAGGAGAAAAACCATCGACCTATGGCCAGTACCTGGTGACTGCCCCATGAAGGCCTCGAACCCGCCACCCTGTGTTGGAGGGCTTGTAGTAGCAGAATGTCAGACGCCTTAACCACTTGGCCACCGCGGCCCCCTAAAGATTGCCAGTCTGTCAACATGAACAAATACTTGAGATTGCCAGTCTGTCAACATGAACAAATACTTGATTTGAGTAACTAACCAGCAGGGTTCGTGGCTGGATTGTACTCCAGAGCATTCCTACAGATGAGGTTAATATCGTTCATGAACTCCGTGGCAGTCTGATAGTTGTGCTTGTCTATTTTGCTCATCATGGTGGAAAGATCCATTGGTTCTGTGATGATTTCATTGTAGTCAGGCACCTTTTAAAAGAAAAATAATAAATTTATGAAAACATATGCAGGGTCTTCATTTAGTGAATCAAAGGAACAATTCCCTTCAATGTACAGAAATGTTCTCAATGTCTTATCTTTTTTCATGTCCTGCTACAAATGTGCTCTATAATTTTCTTTGAAGATGGAGTAAATAATTTGTTATAAAGAGGCAACTGCATGTGTGTGAAATTATCTTCTCTAATCGCTCTTTTCCAACAACTGATCCAAATATCAAAAAAAAAGTTGTCAACTAAACTATTGAGTGGGGGCTCATATAGATAATTCCTCCACCCCCAGATTACTACATACACAAGACCTTTACTTCAAAAGGTATCATTTATCAAAGAACAATAGAGTTAAATGTAAAAGTCTAAACAAAATGTTGTATGGACAGACGGGCCAGTAGTTACATACTTATTGTCCCCTCTACTATGTTGTAAGGGCATAAAAATATTCACTCACATCTTCTAAATCTACAGGCTTAGCAAAGATTTGGAACTTCCTGTCGCGCCCTAGTTTGTTGATGACGTCCCTGAGAAAGAGGCGTAATTCTCTCAAAGTAGCCTCCTCCTGATTGTACAGAGTTTGAAGTTCTTTTTCTGTCAGCTTCCTTGGTTCTGGGGCTGGAGCTTTGGGCAAGACTTCTAAAAGTCGTGTGGCTGAAAATAGATCAAACCACATTAAAGAAATAATCATAATTATTGGTGTGTTTTTTTTTATATATATTGCAAACAATTCTAAAAGCAGAGAAGACTTTCTGGAATTCTAAGCATATTTCCTTTTTTTTATAATAAACTTGTTATCTTCCAAAAGTAAATATCATTTCTTAACTGTCCTAATGGAATATTTCAACAGATTTGTTACATGTGGTAAGCATTTTTTTATATTGTTTTGTTTAATTTCTAAAACTATTATGCACATACCAATCAATTTTCCCAAAGCCTATTCGATTTCAGGAAGGAAAAAAGACTGAACTAGTGAACATTTTGAAATTATATTTTCACATTGCCAATTTGCCATTTATTTCAATACAACTGGTAATTACAATTTTCCTAATCATAAACTAATATGCAATGTTTTATGCAAAAAGCATTTTGTCAATTAAGTGTACGTGTATAAATGAAATTGAACTCAAAAACAACAATGGAACTCTCCAAATAACAAAACACAAAATATGAACTGTTCTATTCTTTTCAAACAATCGACTCCTGTTGTACCTCCTTGTTTTTTATTAATGCTTTTCCGAGCTTGCTTCCCTTTCTTAGTTTTATTCTCTGTAAAGCACAACACTCCCAACATTCAGCGCATACTTTATATACTTTACAAGATCAAAACATCTTTAATTTTCAGACAATACAATATACATACTCTCTATCGACATTCTTCAGACAAAACTACCATTAATAATGAAATTAACATTTCTGTCAAAGACTGATATCAAATTGAAAATATATGAATCCAGACAATGGTGAAATGATGAGATAAACCTTTTGGTCAGTATTCAAAGGTAGGAGTACTGAACTTATTGTTCAAATTAAAATTCACTATTTAAAGACTGACCAAGAATGGACAGGAAATGTGCCAGGACTCGAATCACTTTGTGTCAACAAATATTATTTACAAAACGTACTGAAATCATTGTACACTTACCAGCTTGTGTTTTTTTGCTAGGTGGTTGCCGCGTCTGACTGAGGATGAGATCAGAGAAGAAGTCTCGCCGCTGAGCCTCACTTGGGTTGGTCATTGTTACCACTTCTCCAGCATACAAACTGAACAGGAGTTGAAGCTGTAAGGTGAAACAGTACCAGTTTTAACCTAGGGCTTACTCAGTTTTGAACTTAACATATAACAAGTAGTAGTTTCTAGGAAGTATGTGTAACATAATATTTGAGATCAGTTTACTTTTCAATACCGGATCTATATGACCCTCTACAATGAACTAAAAACACATATCAATAAACATATGTACACAAGATGATGTTTGTTAAGTCCATTTTTGAAAGTGTTTATTGACAACGTTGATACCACATCTTTAAAAAGACTATTCCTTATTTTCTTTTCCAAATCGCTGCTAATTGTATTAATTAGAATTTTATGATATAAAAGATGTTCACTTAAAATAAATGTCAGTTTTGCCAAAAATTTTGATCAGCCACTGAAGTTTTTGCCGGTAATTGACAAGAGTTTAATAGACAATAAATCCTGTAATCAGGTTGGTAAAGACCTGAAAGTCAAGCTCAGCGTAGGGCTGTTCACTGGTGGCAAGGATGAGGATGGGAGTGGTGGGAACCAGGTCTTGTATCAGCATCTGTAGCGTAGCTCTTAGTGTGTCGCCAAGAATACTCCACCAATGGTTGATATGTGGCATGTACACAATGCTCGGAGAACTTCGCATTGCTTCCCGAAATATCTAAACACAAATTTGTAATTGTATAAATTCCATTCACTGTTTCAAAACAAATGTAATGAGAAATTAGTAATATTTTTTTTCAATATCCATATGTAACTAGAACACTGACAGGTCAGTAAGGGCCCCGTCTTGTGGCAATTATATCCCCCATAATCATCAAGAAGCAATCTGCCCAAGGAAGCAAAATATACATTTTACATGTTCTATGATGTGATGTGTTTCCTTCCACCTCCATATTTGCTGGGCTAACAGAAATGTAATTACCGGTGCAATACTCATTTGTTAACTTTGATTTGTTTTATTTCACCTTATATACTTTCTCCATCAAGAGCCAGGGTCAAACTCAGAGATCCACTTTGTCTTTGACCTTTGGACCCAAATGATCTTGACCATTAACCCAGTGACCCTGATCTTTGGTCAGTTGACTTATTCTTTAATTCCGACCAACTTTGCTTCTTAATATCATAACAAAATGTTCATCAGTGAAAAATACAAAACTTGACCTTGACCCTTTGGACCCAATAACCTTGAACCAAGGTCAGTTGACTCTGTGTTAATTTCTGAACAACATTGCTTCATAATGTCATAACAAAATGTTCATCAGGGAAAAGGTACAAAATTTTAACCTTGACCTTTGACCAAGTGACCTTGACCTTTGGTCAATTGACTCCTTGTTTAATTCTGAGCAACATTGCTTCAAAGTGTCATAGCGAAATGTTCACCAGTGAAAAGATACAAAATTTAACCTTGACCTTTGACCNTCTTAGTGTGTCGCCAAGAATACTCCACCAATGGTTGATATGTGGCATGTACACAATGCTCGGAGAACTTCGCATTGCTTCCCGAAATATCTAAACACAAATTTGTAATTGTATAAATTCCATTCACTGTTTCAAAACAAATGTAATGAGAAATTAGTAATATTTTTTTTCAATATCCATATGTAACTAGAACACTGACAGGTCAGTAAGGGCCCCGTCTTGTGGCAATTATATCCCCCATAATCATCAAGAAGCAATCTGCCCAAGGAAGCAAAATATACATTTTACATGTTCTATGATGTGATGTGTTTCCTTCCACCTCCATATTTGCTGGGCTAACAGAAATGTAATTACCGGTGCAATACTCATTTGTTAACTTTGATTTGTTTTATTTCACCTTATATACTTTCTCCATCAAGAGCCAGGGTCAAACTCAGAGATCCACTTTGTCTTTGACCTTTGGACCCAAATGATCTTGACCATTAACCCAGTGACCCTGATCTTTGGTCAGTTGACTTATTCTTTAATTCCGACCAACTTTGCTTCTTAATATCATAACAAAATGTTCATCAGTGAAAAATACAAAACTTGACCTTGACCCTTTGGACCCAATAACCTTGAACCAAGGTCAGTTGACTCTGTGTTAATTTCTGAACAACATTGCTTCATAATGTCATAACAAAATGTTCATCAGGGAAAAGGTACAAAATTTTAACCTTGACCTTTGACCAAGTGACCTTGACCTTTGGTCAATTGACTCCTTGTTTAATTCTGAGCAACATTGCTTCAAAGTGTCATAGCGAAATGTTCACCAGTGAAAAGATACAAAATTTAACCTTGACCTTTGACCAAATGACTTTGACCTTCGATCAGTTGACTCGTTGTTTAATTCTGATCAACTTTGCTTCATCATGTCATAACAAAATGTTCATCAGTGAAAAGATGCAAAATTTGACCTTGACCTTTGAATCTCATGACCCTGACCTTTGACCTCAACTTTTTACCTCAGTGTGTCTCTTTGTTTAATTCTGAACAACTTTGCTTCATAATGTCATAGCGAAATGTTCACTAGTGAAAAGATACAAAATTTAACCTTGACCTTTGACCAAATGACGACCACCTTTGGTCAGATGACTCGTTTTTTAATTCTGATCAACTTTGCTTCATCATACCATAACAAAATGTTCATCAGTGAAAAGATGCAAAATTTGACCTTGACCTTTGAATCTCATGACCTTGACCTCAACTTTTTACCTCAGTGTGTCGCGTTGTTTACATCCGAACAAATTTGCTTCATAATGTCATAGCGAAATGTTCACTAGTGAAAAGCTACAAAATTGGACCTTGACCCTGACCCGATGACCTTGACCTTTGGTCAGTTGAATCCTTGTTCAATTCTGATCAACTTTGCTTCATAATGTCATAACAAAATGTTCATTAGTGAAAAGATGTAAAATTTGACCTTGACCTTTGAACCTAATGACCTTGACCTTTGTTCTTGACTTTTTACCTCAATGTGTATTTTTATGAACAGAACATCTTGACCAAGTTTCATGTACATCGGTCAATAAATACTTAAGATATCAGCCGTGAACAAAATTTGTGGACGGACAGACAGACAGACAGACAGACAGACAGACAGACAGACAGATTGATTACTATAGGGCACCCGTATCTCCGATACGGGGCCCTAATGAGTATGTGTAATATACCATTTACATGTATTTTAAAAATTATTCCTCCAGGTAACAATTCTTATTGTGGTAATATGATTAGCTTGATAGAATAAATTTTGCCTACAATTACAAAAAAAAGGACAAATTATTGCTAATCATGTTACGTTGAACACACTTATTGCAAGCTCTCTTTTTGTCCTGTGACAGAAAATTACCTTCATAATTTATGTATAGTAAATTTTGCCTAGAAAAAAATATATTTTCCATGGTTCTCAAGGATTCTTTTTAAACAAGTTTCATTGTTCACATGAAAGAAGTATTGAAATAATTTCTAACATACATATTCTAAATAAGAAAATATTCAGCTTTAATACATGAATTCTATAAAGTTTTTATGACCCAGCTGACCTGTGCACAGGATTCTTCTGGTGTTTTGGCACTGACAGCAAACAGGGAGGGAAGGTCGACAACATGAACAGGAAGCTGTTCCATGTGGTGGAGCAAGGCCGGGGCTAGGTGGGATGACTGACTCTGGCCAGGGGTGCCAGCCAGTAATAATCGTGGTCGATGTGTGGACGGTTCCTTGTATGCGTAGCTGTTCATACAAATATCAGTATGAATTATAAAGAAATACATGAAAACATTTTTGTTAAAACCTAGATTATTTAAAACTCCTTATTAACAATAAAGTTTCCCTTCTATGTTTAATTCCAAAAAAAGGTAATAGAAAAAGTAAGTTTTTTTTAAATTTAAATAAAGTTTTTTTTTAAATAATTATATATGATTTTTATTTACCTTGTAAAATTGATAAACTGCTGCTTTGGCCCCTCTGGGTGACTCTTGCGCCGGCCTGGACCACGATGTTCAAATATACTGGGCAAGTTATCCTCATCATCACTCAATAGATCATTGTCACCCACAGCAGTGCTGCCATCTCCCTGAGAACTTGTGGCTATAATGCAATCAGACAACCAGATTTTTAGTATCAGATGTTAGCAATATAATCAAGTAAAACATATTTCTTTTGAATAAGACATATGATCTTACCAGCATAGAGTGTAATGATCATTGGCTTATTGAAATGGAAAGCTCAGTCAAGATGTTTTTGATAGATGCTATAAAAAACTATAAACATGCTTCAATAAGGAAAATAACCGCTGAAGTAATACTGAGTGCCTGGAAAGAATATATATTATTTCAATTTAATTGTCTATGCTAATTCATTTTTAAACAAGTTGTCATACAATGAGTCTATATTATCAACTCATTTTACCTGGAGCATCTAGGCTTGCCAGTTGAGCTAGAACAATTGGAAAGACATTCTGTAGGACTTGGAGTATTTCTTCAAAATATTTCTTGAGCAGTGGTCGAAGGTAGTTGGCAAGAGATCTTGCTGGCGAGCTGACAGATCTTTGAGAAGCAGGTACAATGGTTTTCATTGCATAGAAAAAGTCTTTGGCACCGACACTGATTGAAGAGACATCAAGCTGAAGTTTTTCTGATGTTGTGTAGATCTGAGGGTATCGACGCCGCAAAGCGATCAGGGCAGATTCAGTACACAAAGCCTTCAAGTCAGCTCCACAGTAACCTACATGAAAAAGAAAATCTTGTTACAAACGTTTCCTTTGGTCACATGTAAAATCTCGGCCTAAACGTCTCCCTGTATGCAAGCTTATATTTGACATACAAAATATGTAAGTTATTTACCTCTGCTTGACATGAAAAAATTTCTATGACTAAGGTATAACAAGAGGCCCATGGGCCTTAACGGTCACCTGATATATTTATACAGAGAGTTGATTTTGTTTTTAACATGAACAGAAATATTATTCAAAGTGACAAAAAACAATAAAACCACCTTATTCAATATCTAGCATACAGATTTCAGACTAAAAAGGATTTGAAACTAGCACCTCTGATTCTTAACAAGGAAAATGAAGAAAT